ATGAATCTCTTCCTCCAACAAAAGTACTGCATTTACTTATTAGGGAAAGGGGTTTGATTTTTTCTATCCCGGTCAATTTTGTGTTAGTTTTCATTACATTCGAAACTCGCCACAGAAGTTTAAAGTGAAATTTTCTAACTTTTTATCGTCGCTCCAACACTGTAAAGTAACTCATTAATCTCTTTGGTAGGTTTGGTTCAGTACTTCGCAGTTAATTTACAGAACCAACACGATCAACTACTTTCACGTGAATCGCAAAGTTTTGAAATGTCATTGCGCTTGAATAGCATCCATTAGGGCATAAGAGCAATTTTTTCGCCTTTGACATAGATGGTGACATTTGATGGCACTTGGACGTTTTACGTCAGCTCGTTTGATTATGGTCGTAAATGGCAATCTTATCAACAGTTCTCACGTTTGGCACATTCTTCTAGGGGGTGGGGCAGTTCATAGACCATTTTCAAAAAAAAAATCACGTGTAGAATATAATTCATCATCTCCTTGTCTTGGGTGAATAATGTTCATAAATCTCATAGTAATTCTGCATAAAAGTTTGATAAAGAGAATCGAAATTAATATAATCTGCCGTTGGACTTTTGGAGAAAATGAAAATTAGATGTTTTGATCTCTTTTTAATGATTTTTCAGATCCCTGGTCGTTTATAAAGAAAAAATAAACAGTTAAAATTTCTCTCTAAACATGTGAACCCGTTTCTTGGTTCTCCTTATTGATCGCTTGTATTTTTTCTAAATTCTATCTATTCCAGATTTTTTTTACCTTTCGTTATAAAGTCTATCAAAAAGGCTATCAAAGTTTTATCGATCCATTTACAACTGCTAAGTGTATTCTCAACTTTGGCTTCCATTTTTGGATCATTTATGGTTTCCTTTTTTGCCATTTCTTTAACTATAGCCAGATTCTGCATACTTGCATGCCAATTATTTCATTGAATATGCATTTGGAGCTGTGCGCTTTTTATAGAAAAGTTTGATCAAAAATCAGAGACACCAGTGAATATATCACAGGCATTAATTGGAGACTTGAAAAATTATATTTTTATAAATGAAATGGACAACAAGAGGGGGAGATTTTTAGCAGAAAGAAATTGCTGGCAAGAGAAAATCAGCAGCACATATTTTATCGAGTCGTTCTCCCATATTTCTTTTGAACCCGGACTTCTGAGCAGCCTGGCAGCGGTTGAGCAGAAGCGCTTGTTATTTATTTATTTGTAGTTGATTGATATCTAGTTGCCATAGCTGCAAGCGAGTCATCTGTCGCTGTGCTTCTTCTAATCAACATTGAGCCATAATAACTTCTTCCTGCGTAGTTTCTTGTCTTGGCTGTCTAACTTTTCTTGCAATTTCAATATTGAAAATCTCAGCTCATACGCCTCATTTATGGTTGAGAACACCTCCAAATTTTGTCGCAAATCATGATGTTTCAAGTACTTACTACCGTAATCAGCGTCCTTGATTACGGTAGTAAGTACTGTATGGGCTGTGGTCTACAACTGAATTTCTCGCCCCAGTAATCGATCTCATGAGCTCCGGCTTGGGCAATGGCTCAGTGAAAGCTTCCCTGTTATTTGCCAAATAAGATACTGAGTCTTTCTTCAGCTAGAAATATTCATCAAAATGAGTGAAAGTGATACGAGGTGTGCGTCCGATTCCAGTCGCGCCGATATTTGATGTGCGTAAGCATTATATCACGACAACTGATCTGAACCAACGATCACTTTACACAATATCGAATGCAGTTTTTTGTGCAAAATTCGCAGCAAGCTTTTGATTACTTATTATGGAGTCAATTATTATGTGAGCATGCACACTATGCGCGGCAATTCACGCCTTTACTGGTGGCTTCTCAGTGAGTCTTTTTTTTTTGAGCAAAACAAGCTGTAGGAATGCATACGCTGACTATACTTACCATTCAAACCAAAAGAGTCAAGAAAAGAAGGGCAAATTACTGGAATTGAGCAAGTTCTAATCTTACAAGCCGTCAAGCAGCGCGCATGCTCTGCAATACGCGTACTGTTACAAATACTACTCGACGATACTTTTTCATTTATCCCTAAATAACCACTCATCCTGTTTTCGGTCCATTCCATTCCTTTCCAATCACTTATTCTACTTCTTCATTAAATACATTCTTTCAGTTTCTTCATTTCATCCTTTTTAATTTACCCACGCAATTCATGTCTTTTTTATCCATTTTATCCTTTTTTGATTCCACTTATCCATTTTTACTACTTCGATACACATACCCTATCTGTATCGGTGCTGAACACCTCGTGGGAGAAAGTTGGGAAAGAGGAGTGAAGAACGTGTTCTTGAAAGTGGGCCGCAATTATCAAGAGAGTTTTGAACTAAATTTTTGAAGCATCGCTCTTATTCGTGTTTGGAAGCAATCTTTGGACCTCCGAGCTTTATCATATGGAGGAGGGCATTGTTGACGCCACTTTTTCCCAAAAGAAGAGCTCTGAGTGTGTAAATATCGAGCTCCCTAAAAATCATGAGCGTATGTGCCGAAATTCCTGCTACTTTCACTGTTATTCTGAGAGAATTTTTTTGTAGATCGCTTACTCACCAATCTACTTGTTATACGTTCACATTTTTTACTCATTCAACCCGTTTATAGTCAAAGCGCTGACTCATTATTTCATAATTCGTCCAAATACATAGTTATTTGTCAAGAAGCCATTAATGTTGAGAAATAACCTTTTCATTATCATGCTCCAGATACGCTGATGCATTTATTTGCTTATTTCATCTTGTCACATGTTACTCATATGACTATTGTTCAACAAATCATGAGTAAATATAGTGGCCAAATACAATGGGATTATTTACTTTGCAAATTAGAACAAAATCAACGAATGCTAATGAATAATGGAAAATTTCATTCACATGCTGCTCATGTGACTCTTGTCCAACAAATTAAGTGTAAATATAATACAGTAAATACAAGGGGATTATTTACTTTGCAAATAAGATCACAAGCAACGAGCGCTAATGAATATTGCAGAATTTTAGCCGAAAATGATTAAATATCTATTTGACTTAAAAGGACTTTGCAGGAAGGAAATTCTTGTAACTGAGTCTCACTTGTCTGTTTTTATCTCCAGTTCACTTTGTATTTTCAGTTCATCCAAATTATGCAAAATTGTTTATTTGAAATAATAGTCATCAGGGCTTTTGTGAAAATCCATCGCGAATTTTGTGATATTTCATTATTTTTTTCCTTTTCATTTCGATGTGGTACAACTGGAGAAGCTGTAATCATAACCTTATATGGAAAACTGTTTTGGTTTTACGTATAGCATTTCTCAATAACATTAAGATTTTTCCCGAAAGCAAGACAAACTTATGCGACTAACCCTCTTTTTTTTAAATCAGGATGTGCGTAGAAGAGCTTTGCGAAGAGATTAGCGCTTACCCTAAGTTGCCATCTCGCCCGAGATGGCGTATAAATATTCATGAGAATATTGCCCTCCATCATTTTATGCGACAGCAGCACATTTTGTCTGTTTGGGAAAAATGTCGATGTAAATATGTTCTCACATCTTTTTTAATTTTCGTCATGCTCAACTTCCTCATGTGGCACCAAATAGTTTTCTCTTGCGTATGTTACGAACGATTCAGGATGTGGATTTTGCCCAATTTGGAACTTTTTCTGACAATCCGATTTCTTGAGAATTCCTCCAGTGAATTTGAGCAATTGTTATCGTTTGGTCATCCATTTTTATTCTTAGTTCTTGATATTTTCCATTGTTTTGTGAATTTTTCTGATGGACTGACTTTTTTGACTACGAACAGGGTCCTTTATCGAATTTTGGAATTTTCCAGAGCAGAATTTAGACCGCATATGATTACTAATAGTTCAGCAGGTCAGCAGGTTCATAGAACATTTTTAGCTGGATGACTCCACGCCCAGCTATCAGGATAAAATTCTCTAACCCTCCCCCCCCCCTACCCCCACTCCCCTTCCCGGTATGAAAAAATTCTTGGCCGCCACTGATAGCAAGCGTTTTTATAGTGCTCCACTTAACTTCTTCAGTCATACTTTAAGAGTCTCTTGAGCTTGGACTATGAACCCACTTTAGTGGTTTCAGAGTCTTTACAATATGACATTTGGCATTTCTTTTTCCACGAAATTATGTTTGTCTTATAAGCAGTTGTGTACTCAATGTTTTGACACGGGAAGGGGAGGGAGAGAGGAGAAACTTCTCACTAAAGCATGGGGCTAAATATTAGGTGGTTTCATAAGTCCGTAAAATTTTTATTTTTGTAGCCTTTTCTCGATGAAGCGATGTTTTACGTCAATCTCAGGATGATTTTTTTGATTGTTGTAAGCTTGTGGCTTGTTAACTACATTTAATGTTAACTACATTCATTTTTCTTATAAGCTTCAGTTTTTATGAATTGTAAAAACAATTCAGTCTAACAATAAAAAATGCAAGGTCTCATATTTCTGACGTGCCTTTCATGAAAAAGACATTTAGTTCGCGTTTTAGGACCTTCTTTGGTGGTTACGGTAGGTGTACGATTATAGGGTCAAAATCCAGTTCCTTGCTATTGATATAGGGTCCTCTGGCATACAGATTACTTATCCATTGTTTATATTGAATGTTTATTGTGAGATTAGAGTAAAATCTCCTGCTATATCTCAGAAAACCCTCAGAAGAGGGTGCAAGATTTCAGAAATCCGAGATATGGCGTTTTTGGCTCTTATAAAGACTGTTTTCGAAGATGCTCGAATTATTGGAGCGACCAGCCCTACCTCACCGCGGTTGCTTTCTGCTTTGGCTTTTTCACCATGCTGTTTCTGACTGTTAAATGAGTATCCTCTAACAACTCATGGGTTCTTACCCCCTTATCCCCATGATCCCTACAATTGTACGAACAATGATCTCTACCGGGTCAGACTGCCATCACTGCTACATGTCTGTGTCAACTTTGTACCCCATTGTAGGGCAACGAATGAACTGCGCGAAAAAAACGAAACGAAAACAGCCAATGCCATATACTGGTTTCGTATCACATGTTCGGCACAGCTATAAAAAGGCCGTTGGTCACGTGGAGTGTGCCTAGCGGAGCGTAATTCTCTCAACAAACCATTGCGAACAGCGATAACGTAGCCGCACATCCCACCTCCTACGACGAAAACTCACACATTCTCTAGACGTTTCTGTTTCGAAAAGGCTGTGCTAATAAAATGAAGCGTAAGGGTTGCGTCAAGCATCGGGATCACGTGGCTGAGCGACTTATGCGATGTAGAGCGACAAAAAGTAAGTGAACTCTTCTGAATTTTTTAAATCCTACGATTTTCTCTTTTTTCCTCTTCTTTCATCTCCTTATTTTCCAAAAAAGGCAGGGCTTTCTATGTTGATTTTCCCCTTGTCGTTCCTTTTCAACCCATGAACCAAGGGAGAGCCTTCAGTCATGACGTCTAATAGAGAATGTTTTTCTCTCTCTCTCTCTCTCCTTCTCTTCCTCTTTCTCTTCTTCCACTCTTTCCGTGAAGGCAAAGTTTTTTGAGCTGACTAGGGAATTATCAGAAATCGAAGTGGCCAATCCAAAACAAGCAGCATACCTTAACTCAGACAATTCACCAGAACTAGGGCAAGCAAAGTTTGCAGCGGTTCCGCAGAAGACCATTGCAAAAGTGGAAACGTTGGAAATGTGAACTTCCGCAGAATTTTACATCAGACTTTCGCAGCACCTCATTCGGGAACTTCCGCGGCGTTTGGGTAAGTGGAAGTTCCGCAGGTGACCCGGCGGAACTTCCACTTACCCAAACGTTCTGCGGAAGTTCCGATCAGTTGCCTGAGTAGATGCAGCATAAAACGCTGACTTCGAATCTGTAGCCCATATCGCTTAGCGCCTACGTGGGCGAAGTTATGAGCCTTTAAAGCCCGTTATCTTGCTAAGAAATCATGTACGCAAAACGCAAACTTGGCAGTACAGAACCACGTTCGACTTTATGCTAGGCCAAAACATGACTACGTAACTTATTCTTAAAGCCTAAAGGTCAGCTGAAAGTGCAACAATGTGCTCGATTTCACAATTTTTATATACGATTTTTTCGCAATAAAACTGCTCATAACTGTATCCACAAAGCCGCTAAGCAGATATGGAATATAGTTTCGAAATCAGCGTTGCATGCTGCATCGAATGGTAAGCAACTTGCTTGCCACTTCAACTTCTGACCGTTCTCCTATGAGAATAACTTGTCTCTTCGCTTACCTGTGAAGAAGGAAGTGTCTGTGATCATAATATCTAATAGTGAAGTCAAGAGTCTAACAGTGAAACGAATTTATTATGAATTTGAGCTCCTGTATGTCGTGTTATGAATTCTGAATATTAAATACTTAGCCTTCAATAAGCAGAGCTCGGCGCAGGTGACTTATAAGCACGTTGGATATCGTTATTGGAACAAGCAAAGAAAATACATTTTTGTGGCCTAACACAACTTGAATGACCTTTTTTTACTCGAAGTTTCCTTTTTTGGAGGTTTCGTACATCTAGGGTTTAGGATCAAAGGGAACTTTGTAAAATTTCGCAAAAGTCAAAGGAGACTTCGTTTTTTGATTTTCGAAAAGTTACCTCGTGCCAAGTCTTGTTGATAAGGATCTTCTTACACAATGAATCTGACCTTTCAATTTCCCACCACTCCCCCCCCCCCTCCTCCCATCCTTCCCTAAAATAGTACAGAGTTTTGATAGGTTGTCTACAACAGTAAAAGAACGGATGTGATTGTTTTTTGTTGTCTATGATTAGATTAGTTTTTTCGACCCCATAGAATGCAATCACTTTCTTAGAAATGTTTTTCGGTGATGTGGCTAATGTCATCTCTCTCTTTCTTTCTTTGTCTCTCTCTCTCTCTCTCTCTCTTCTTTCGCTCGCACTCTTTCTGTGAATTTTCCTAGTGTTTGCACTTTTTGATAGAAACTTTTCGAAATTCGCCAAAAAGCATGAATTTCTTGCGCCTTTTCACGAGGATCTATTGCACAATGCATAATTCCCCCCCCCCCCTTCTTTACGAAATATGTAGCAGAGATACTAAAATTGTTCTTTGGATAATGAGATTGCGGAAGTGAATTGTCTTCCTCTGTTTATGAACAAAAATGATTTCTCCAAGTTTTTCTATATTTGATCAGCTTGGCAGATTTTTCAATGGCTGTTATATCATCACACCCCCTCCTCGCTTCTGGTAACTCCGAATGGCTTCAAAAAAGTCCCTAAATCTGAGTTCGAAAGTGTAGACAGGCTTCCCCCCCCCCTCCTTTTATTTGAAAAGTAATTAGACTGGTGCTCAGATCATCCTTTATAGTCTCACTGCTGCTTCATACATGTAGGAATTATGCCTTTTTGAATAATGGGAATTATGCCCTTTTACTGTATACCTTTTACAAAGTAGGACTCAGAGAATCTTACTTAATCCCATATTCTTTACAAAACTTCCTTCCTGAATGCCTAATATGCCGATTTTTTGTGGGACATGAATACCGCTATTCATTTATCGAAAAGGACTAATGCCTGCTGACGTACTTATCAACTTCCTGCTTGACATTTCAGCTGCTTAGACTTTTTTCCGCAAGGCTCCATTCTCCAAACTCTTTTTCTAAGGCCTTTCCCTGTTTTGTTTGCCTAGGATCACATGTCCTTCTCACGGGGTGGGTTTGTGAGTACTTTGAGCTTCTTCACGTACTTAGAGTTTTCGAAAAAATATTCTTTGTCATTATTAATCGTCCTATGGAAATACCACACTTTTCCCGTTGAGCTGAATGTTTTTCTTTTCATGTGCAACTCGTGCATAAAAATGTCAGTGTTGAAGGTTAAAGTACGGTAATCGAAAGGACAGAAGAACTTTTGCGGATAAGGCTACTGGGATAATTAATACAACGGCTAAGAAGTTTCATTATCTCCTTGTTTTGAAGGCTCTTGAAAACGGGCTTTTTCAAATAATATTTCATGAGTGCTGATTAAATTGAACCACATTATTTTCGTTTTCATTCGCTTTGAAGTCTTCAAACGAAAGTTGAGAAAAAAATAAAGATATTGAAGGCCCTCAAATGATGTCGATACACTTCCTTGTTTGAAGTCTGTTTACAGAATGACAAGTGTTTTTTTTTGAAAAATAGCTGCAACTAATGACCTGGACGTCTAATTTTTTATTTTTACTTTTTGTACAATGTTTCCCAAAATTGTAAGCCTTACATATGGGAGGCAGCCAACATGAACGATAGATTGTGCCAGCCATATGCGTTGCGTAGGTCAAATATTTTCTAGATTCTATAATTACGCTATGATGATATTCAAAATTCTGCAAAAAACGCTGGGAGCTCGGTACCGCCTTATTCTTACTGCTCGACACCATTTTCAACCCAGTGAAGAACATATCGCTTAAAAAAATAAGACTTTAGGCGCGGCATATTGACAACCGCACGAGTACAGTATGCTTATTCCCAGCTATCGTTCATCTTGGCATACACCCCTTACATATACCTTTGCTGCTCCTCCCACACTCTCTTTAAAAGCTGCGGATTGCGGACAAGGTAGAAGATTTCCGGATACATCCCCTCGTCATTATAAAATATTTTTTTCGTCTGAAGCCAAATTTTCACAGTTGTAAGAGCCTATATCAAATGGAACAGAAAAGAGAAACACGTTTTTTTCCGATTTGCAAGCTTCCCTGCCAATAATAATTTTCATGATGCTATTATTCAAAATTCTGTTTACCAGCGGACTATTAGCATGCTATCTATGATTGTATTCCTGTATTTGATGGTGTTGTTGACTGTTTCGAAATCGGTCTGAATCATGTTGGAAAGCGCTGTTTTTGGGAAGCTAGATGAGTCAAACCGCTTAATGGCATTCTCTATGCTAATCATGCCAAATTTCTTTTCGAATTAGACCTTGGACCATCACATTGAAAGTTTTTCCAATCAAAGTAAATCGCGCTCTGCATGTCGTAAAAATTCCGTGATAACAGGTGACCTTTGAACGTTCCGTATTAGTCACTGGTTACTTTAAGAAAGAATTTTTTCCGCAATGTGTCATTCGACTTGGAGCCTAGTTAATTCTTTTCGCCTAAACGTTTTATGTGAATTTGAGCGTCCTGTTCAAGCATGCCTAAGCGACAGCTCGATGCATTCCTTGTTCAAAAAACGTTGAACTCTAACCTAACCGTACATTTACGCAAATACCTTGACTAATTTGCTCGGAAAGAATACTATTTGGGTGAGTTTGGATTCAAACTTTTTGGCTAAAGATGAGTTTTATGACCTGCCGCTTAGGCAGGTCATAAAACTCATCTTTAGCCAAAAACCTGGTGACCTGGTTATTTTCTGTCTCCATATTTGAAGAACTACGACTCAACCCAAATGTGAATCGTAAATTCTGCATACGTCATCTTTAGTGGCGCAACTTTACAGCTCAAGTTTCAATTGAAAAATACAGAAGTTGATTAAGTGTTGGTCTCCAACTCTATAGTCATTATTTCATAGAGGAAAGGGATTTCTTAAAAATTTTCGAAACTTTCCTTTTTGTCAATTTCGACTAAAAAGCTTGCTTCACAAATCAAATTTCCCGTATATAATCCCATGAATGTCTGGCTCTGTAATTGCACATCTTGTTTTCCTAGTAGGGAGGGGGTATATATTTTAAGTGAATCTCTATGGAGAGGAACTTGGTGAGGGCGTAGTAGTCAAGTATGAATTGCCTCCCATAACGTTGGTTATGACAGGACTCTTGAAAAATGCATTAACTTTGAAAACTTTTTCTTGGCTATCACGAAACTTCTTTTCTTATGAAAATCAATACTTTTCGTATATTTCGGTGGACTCTTGATATAGTCGCTCTTGAAGGGGATTTTTCTATACGAATAGGATCCCCTGCAAAATTTGGCCACTTGTCCTTTATTCTGTTTTTCTGAATCTGCATTCGATTTTCCATGTTTAATTGAAAAATTTCAAAAGAGTATAACTGTCGAATATCATCGAACAATAATAACGCCAGAGCATTCCAAAACATCGGTGCACACGTATTTGCATAAAATCTGCCCTCATTCCCCTTCCCACCTCTCTGCTGATGCTATCGAGCTTATTTGCAGCTAATAAAGCGGAGCGCAGCAGAGATGGTCCACCAGTTGTCGTTGATATTCGTGCCGCTGTCGGGGAGGACACGTGGGTATGATAGGAAAAATAGGGCAGATTCCAAGGCCGACGTCACCCGCTTGCACTTTTTTCGGACTATAAATTGACTGGATCTCTGAAAGCAGCTGTACTTCCTCCTTGGAGGAGCCTTTGTACTAGTCATTATTGCCTTTTTTCCCCATCTCTCCTTTATCTTTCACGTCTGATTAATTAGTATTGTCTAGCTGTCACTTTTTCTATTGTCTCGTGAGAATGAAAAGAAGTCAGTAATGACCGCTTCCGCGATTCTGATGGATTACTTATTGAGGCCTTGAAATTATATTGCTGGTTCTCACGATAATTATGCGTCTGTATTCTTGTGAGAAAGTGATGCTTTTCACATGGGTCCCTGAAAATTTTTGCTTGAACTTTGGAGTTTATGCATCGGAAATTCTGCTTTGTATTGACTAATAACTAATTTCGGTGGTGTTTGATGGTTTATAAAAATATCATTGACAAATTCTTGTATGGATGCACAAAGGCAGCGTCCAGGCAGATCTGGACCCATGGGGCTTTTACGTGGAAAGTACTTTTGGGGCCCTAACTAGGGCACTGCCCAAGAGGTAGCTCAGGTAGTGCTCTAATGGCTGAGATATTCCCCTCGAAACTGGCCCCCGCAAACGTATTTGCATGGATTCATGGCAGTTTCGCGCCAGGATGCACGCTTTGCGCCATGAATCCATTCGAAACACGGTCGCGGGGTCCACCTTCGAGGGGAATATCTCAGGCTTTAGGGCACTACCTGAGCTGCCGGTTGGGCAGTGGCTTAGTTAGGGCCCCAAAAGTACTTTCCACGTAAAATCCCCATAGGTCCAGATTTGCCTGGACGCTGCCTTTATACCACTGGAAAGATTACTTCGCGAAATCAGACTTTCAATTTTGCTGAGCAAAAAAAATATTTTCTTGATGGCGATTGTCATAATCATTATTACCCATTACTTCCGCTATACCCATTTTTCTGGAAATGAGCCTAGTGTGGTGCGGGAAGGGCATTTCAGATTTCGCGCCCTTCTGCTATTGGTCAATATGGTCCTGACATGATAGACGTGGCGCCCTGGTGGACGGTGCTTCTAGTTGGTCGGCACGCATTCTCGCCTTTCGCGTGCTCCTCCTATGAGCTCATTCTGTACCCCACCAATATTGGCCAGTAGAAGTCCCGACACGATATATTGGCACTGCATAAAAGTGGGCGGGCATAAAAGTGGGCGGTGCTTTTGGTTCCCTGTCAAACAACTTCCTTGTTCTTTATTGTTCATTCGATTTAAAAGTCAACGCTAACCTTTTTCATTCAGAAAAATGGTGGATAGTTTAATCGTTATTTTTCTATGCACTTTTCTCATGTTTCACTGCTGTAGTTCCAAAACTTCCTCTTTGCAACTATTTTGTTTCGCGCAATGCACTTTCACTCCCACTTTCTCATTTTTTTTGAATCAAACAAGCACTTTTGTCCCATTGTTAACGGTGAATTCTGAATTGGCAATGCACAAACCTCAAATGTCCGTGAAATTTTCTGCGATTATATCTTGCAAATCCTGCATAGCGTAGTTTTTTTTCCGGCGCATTCCAAGTTTTTTCGATCTGTGCCGCAGTAGACCCATTCTGTTGATATGAGCCAATCAAGTACTCATTTATATCGGACGCTTCCCCAACACACTCGAATTTTCCCACATCAACTTTGAATTGGGAAATTCCGACTTCAAGTCTACCTACACTTCTTCAATTTTTGCTAATCCTGCTTCCCTTAGTCCATTTATCGTTTTTATTGGTGATTTGAGCTAAGACTCTTCTTAAAATTTTTTTCAGTATCATCCATATATCGTTTTCTTACTCAAATGACTGAAAGCACTTCCTTACTGCTGAATAATTCGATACGCCTTCTCCAGCTCATTCCGGAAGCTTGTTCTTTTGCCTTGTGTCATAGAATTAGGGCGAAAGGACAAGGTACTAGGGGAGGGGCTAAAGATCTTGAAGAAGCTGCACATGATGGCTCACTAGAGCCTCCTTGCTTCCTCATAGGGCTATGTGGTCATTCATTATCTTCAGCCTACACACTATATAATCTCTATTCTATAAATTTGTCCAGGTCGTATCAATGGCGAAAGGGACGGGGTGTTCCAAAGTTGGTTACGGAATTTTTGGAAATGGTTGATGTTGGTTACGAATTTGCGAAAGACTATGTTCTTGTATCAATTTCTTTGAACTTCATGATTCATGCTTCATAAAGTTTGGGCGGTTACTGGCAAGTCAGAATTCTGGGAGTCAGAATCCGCAAAAAAATTTCTGATAAAGAATTCGGCCCACGCTTTTCTCTCCGTTCCCTCCTCCCCCCCCCTCCCTTTCCAAGCTAAAAAAGTTTTCCTATGCGTAACTGGATTTTTTTTTTGAATTTTAAGTTTGTTAGCGAGCTTACTTACTTGTTTTCTGCCTAAGTTGACTAGCTTGAACAAACTTTGAAGCTAGATACTTTCAAATGATTTCCCCCTTCTCAAATTCCGCTCCATTTGCTCAAATCTTCTTGCGTTTTCAGTAATTGTAACTCTCTACCGCCCCTTATCCTACCATTTTAGGGTTATCAGCGGTTTCTGGCTGTAGCTCGGTAGTACGCAGTGATTCTATGGAGGATGGCGGCTCGTCAACGACTACTCTTCTTGTATCGTTGTGCGAGCGTGAACGCTGCTTCTACACTGCCGGCCGTCTACCTGCCAGATTGCCTCAGGTAAGATCTTGGTTTACGGTAGCTGTACGGTACTTGGCTTAGTGTGTGTATGTTCAGGGTGAAGGTGTGATCGGTTGGTCATGCCGTGATCGTGAAGCGGCATGGATCTGTTCGGCGGCTCGACGACTTGGTCTAGATGTCGATTCATTCACTCTTGCCGTTGCATTACTCGATCGAGTTATTTGTGGAACAAGAGTTCCCACGAAGTGAGTCTCCTCTAGATAAGATACTGCCCAAGTGGCGGCTCATATGATTCATTCGTGGCAGAGAAATGCAATTTTGAGCTCCAGCCCAGACAGTAAACTCATGATGGGAAGTACGGTCTGGACTCAAGTTCAAAGCTGAATCTCTCGGCCGCTAATGAGTCATATGAGTTGCCACTTGGGCAATAGATTGGTTAAGACCTCACAATTAGTATGCACACAAGAAACCCTGGTAACTTCACCTGCACAAGTTTGTGACCCTTCCCTTCTCAAAAGTGCCCATGTACTCTCGCACACCGTACATCAGCGTTATTTTCCCCACGATTAGTCATGATGCGTATGTGTATTCCACACACTACGCCAGGAAGTGATTCAGCAAAAGGTCGTGCCAGCCTGTTCTTTATGAATAATTGCACTGCTGTGCCTACTACAATGGTTTATTAATATTTATGGGGAGACATTATGTGAATGACTAATCAGTGTTGGGATGGGGGTCTTATATAAAGAAGGGCGGGTGATCTATTGAGGGGTTTGGAAATGGGTGGTACAATGATGATGAAGAGGCACAGACATTTATCCTAATCATGCACCGTTCCTGCTTTGTTAGGTTTAGGTTAGGTTTATTTTTGGGTTTTTTCTTTTCGTGCAAAACTGAAAATTGTAGTAATCACTCAGGGAGAGGGGAGGGGGGCGAGAAGAAGAGAGGGGAGGGGAAGTGGAAGCTCGAATATCAAATTTCCTAATTATCAGGTAAACAACATTCGACCAAAAAATAATTCTTAATCATCTACATCTATTTGTTTGTTGTTTATATTGTCTTAAATTTAATCACTTTAAAAAATTACAAAAATGCCTATGAGTTCAAAGCAGTCATGTGCTAGTTAAGCTGAGCTAGTCCATATCTTATCAGTCCCCAAAAAATGATGCAAGCACGACCATGTGATATATTCAAAACTGATAAAGTGTTTACGGCGCGGATGCTTTTTTTGTGTCGATGAAACTACAGCAATCATATGGTACGGGACCCCACCCTATCAAGGATAGCTGTGGGTGTGATGAATAAAAAAAGGCTTCCTATTTTTCATGCTTACACTTTGCATCAGCAATTGTATGACAAGAATGCTGCGTTGTTGGTTCTTTGTAATTTTGAACTAAATGTGGAATGTTTGAACAATACTCAGACAGTAAGTGGTAATGAGCTGAAGAGGCTGCAAAAGTGAATGAGCTTTACTTCACTTCACGTTTCACTTGGAGTAGTGTACAAATAGATTCTATTTGATTTGCAGACCTTGAATGTTTGAAAGAAAAAGACTGAATTCCTGGTATTTTTTACCAGACGTTTTTGAGAGACCGAGGCATCACAGTACGACTAGGATGGAGTGCTAAAAAACTTCCTCAAAAAAAAAAGGAAAACAGAAGCAAATAGACGCTGAGAAGAAAATAATTAGAAGTTATATGTTTAGACTGTCGTAAATTTATTGACTACTTGTGCGCTTGATTAATCATGGTAGTTTTATACCCTGTTGTTTCCTACGGAGGCAGCCTTGAAGGTTTCAGGAAGCTTCTGGAATTTTTCAAATTGAAAAAAATGTGATAGAAATTAACCGATACCCTGATTTTTCAATTCCCTCCCTTAAACCCTCCCCCCCCCCTCTCTGTTTCAAATTGTTTGGGAAAAGTAGTTGAGTTCCAGTGGTGGTCCGAGGGGGTGGGGGAAGGGGAGGGGGGGGAGGCGCCTTTGAAAGTTGCTTATATGCGTTATAAAAATGTGCAAGTGACTTGTTTATACTGGTTTATACTGTTAGTAATTAAAATAATTTTTCAAAATTTTTCGAAAATTCAAATTAACCTTGTAAAAAAATTTTTGGGGTAGGGTCATGGACCCAAAAATTTCGGGATGCAACCCAAAATTTTTTCGGATTGCACTGCTAACGCCATGCACCTTCACTAAGGAATAATTTTTGTCGCCCCCCCCCCAATCCGAAATCCTAGGACCGCCACTGTAGAGTACTAGCCAGAGACACTTGAATCAGCAATCCAATTTTCTCTCAACCACACCCTGTTGTACTTTGGGAGTGCAAACTTTTGTCGAGAGCTTGAAACTAGTTGTACTTACCAATGGCTAACTCAGACTCTTAGAGGGTTACCACAAGTTCACTCAACCTTACATACTAGATATTGAGTGCAAAAGGACTAAAAATTCAAATATTTTAAGTTAACTTATTTCAGATACGTGAACTGTGTAGCAGCAGCATGTCTATCATTGGCGAAAAAATTGTGTGAAGATCATGAAGAAGATGCTTCGTTATACCTACAAAGACTTCGACTTTCTTATAGTGCAAGAGAGCTGAAACGTATGGAGCTACGTATATTAGGTGGGTTCAGCTCGACTGCGGTTTGATTTGACGATTCCGGTGTCCTTACGGTGCCGACAGCATTTGCGCGTGAACTGATGGTCCAGGGCGCAAAACTTGAAAGTGTACGCTCTATGGCTATTTTGTACACTCAAATTGTCGCGTTACCGGCATGGTAGTTTCTTCACCCGCAAGTGTTGTCAGTACCGCAAAGGCACTATATGAATCGTCAAGTCTATCGGCCTGTGTTTCTAATTTTAATGAAAGTATTTATCACAGAATTGCTTGGTTGGGATGCGCATTTACCATCGTTCGATCGTTTTCTTGTCGCTCTGCTGAAATCGATGGGAGGTGAATGGTTGATGTCACCGTTGAGGTTGGTTTTATTCATATTTTTCCGTTTACCTTCTTTTTCGATATTTTGTCTTTGTTTTTGTGCGGATTTTACCTTTCTGATTTTTTCCTGAATTTTTATTCTGAAAAGTACATTTTTAGAGTGCACATTGAAGCAATAGTGTGCGACTCATCGGTGATGTCCCAGTTCCCACCATCGACATTAGCTTTGTCTGTTGTAAGTTTGCTTATAGAAGCCACAAGCAAACAATGGATGCCAGCTATTCAGACGCAGATCAAGCTCTGTAAGGTAGGGATTTTCTTGGAACATTGCCAAAATCCTTCAAATCGTCCATGAACAGTGCCTTTTCCAGACCGATCCATGTGAACTGCTACGTTGTCGTGAACGATTGTCGAACGTTTGGTCACGTACCCTAGTACCTTCGCTATCCCCTTTCGAGTTAATTTCACCAGCACCTGAACCGCCGGGGACTACAGTATCCACAGCGTCCTGCCGCGGTCCTTCGCTTGTCGTTACCGCAAGTCCCGGCGGTAATACTACTACAACAACAACGTCTACTACCGAGCCCGAGTTTACCTCACCCCGGGCACCGCAACCCACTCCGTGCTGAAATGTGAGTTTGAGCAAATTGACTTCATACCCAATCAAAATCAGTTTTTTTATTCGTTATGAATTATACCTGAAGAACCGGGAATGCAGCAGGAAGCTCTAAATGTACTCCTGTTTGTGTATGAATCTTGACTTCAAATAAAAATTAGCTTTCTAGATTTTTCTTCGATTCTTTTTTTTTCGAGTAAATAACTAATTTCTGATCAATAATCAGGAAATAATATATTGGCAATTTCAAACCATTCGCCTCCCGTCTCGGTAGAATAACTTTTTTACCCCTGCTGTGAAAATAATAGGCTGTTAAACTGGGGAGTGTTGGCTACTCAAGTGCAGTTGATGGATGCATGAGGGGCGGAGTCGGAGTAAGGGGCGTGTCTGGAGGGGGCGGACTTACTTGACTACTCAAGTGCAATTGATGGATGCATGAGGGGCGAAGTCGGAGTAAGGGGCGTGTCTGGAGGGCTGACTCCACCTCTACTTTCATTATTTCAAATTACATATCCTAACAAGGAGCTTTTCTCGCAGATAATGATGGTAATTTTTTTATCACAGTATTATTATTTATACAAATAGTAATTTTTTTATTGATCACAGTATTATCAATAATACAAATTATCATCTGCACTTTCCAAAATTTTGCTATCCATTCTTTGGATAGGGAGGAGTGGGGGGAAGGTAGCGCTTTTTATGGTCTTTTTTCACACATGAATCTCTCATTAAATTACATATCCTAACAAGGAGCTTTTCTCGCAGATAGTGATGGTAATTTGTTATTGATCACAGTTCATCTACTGATTTCTTTCAGGTTCCCATCAATCTTCGTTGTTGGAGTGCGTAGTTTCTGTTATGCCGTCCGTGAGAGGCACACTGACGTTCAATCGAACGCGTCGTCAACTGTGCGGATTCTGTAGTATTACTACTTCCTGTTCACTCTGTACTGTCATGCTAACCTAACTCACCGCCTCACACCCCCCCCCCCTCTTCTACCTTTACTCCGTCACAGTATAATCCCGCCATCCTGGCTTTGTGAATATCATGAGCGGCAGGTCCGTGATTGCACACAGTTACACTACGCCCACATCTTGGCATATGAGTCTTTTTTTAGTGGGAAGAGCAACTGAAAATCACCTGCTTGTCTAATAATGCCTAGGTCTCTTCCCGGCTAGCTTGTTTTTTTTTTGTTGTAGATAAGTGTTGTTTAGTAATGCGCTGTAACACCCAAAGTGTCCGTAGAGCAGTTAATTTGACCATTCTTGCTGATCTGGACTTGTCCCTAGTTTATCTGTTGTAAACACGATTGATCATTAGCTAAACACCTGTTGATAATATTTCTTCTTCTTTGAATTTCACTGTTCTCACGCGGTGTTACGGTAATTGAAAATGTGTGTACTCTTTTTATCAACTCATGTCGTACTCATGATTTTTTTACCTCCATGTGTTTGTTGTTTTGCTTTCATCTTCTTCTGTAAAATAGTCTATCTAGATGTTTTGTTGTATACTCTATCGTGCATCTATATACCTAAAAGGTAAAAAAAATGATCTGTAAGTTGTTTAGAGTTACTAACAACTCGAATATTTCAGGTTATTTCGTTTCTTCTTTTCCTTTCTTCTTATCTAATGCACTTTTGGCGTACAATAACAAATGCCTCTCATGGACGTGTTTCCTGTGAATAAATTGTTGATTCTCTTCGTAAACAATGGATTCAGTTTATTGAATGTTCACATGAAAAGTTGGGCTCTTCTCTTGGTAGCTAACCTATTTTGCTGCGCCCTCGATCACTTATTCCATGCCTTTTGTGCCTATTGGGGCGATTGGAGGATTCAAACTAGCGCAGCTGAAAGTCGGCTTTCCTAACCATATAAAATTAACGACAAATCAAGATCGTATGACAGAAGTTTTATTATCGGAAAATGCATCATGTGCCACTCCGTAGAGCTAGGTTATTGTGCTGGTCAAATCAGTGGACTGACCAATAGCGAAGCGGATACTTCATGCACTTCGCTACTGGTCAAATCAGTGAAGTGACCAATAGCGAAGTGGATCAAGCCGATCAGGAGAGTCGAGTATAGCGTGTGCCTCAAAGGCAACGCGTGTATCCGTGGGAAGTCCAGAAATAACAGAGGATACGGCAGTGAAAATGACATCTTGATTTACATTATATAAATCTTTGATAAGGTCGCGTAATCCACTGAGTCCTCGATAATACTCGCAAAATTTTACGCTGCACTGCCAATGATTCTCACTTTGGATTTTTCTTTTCAACAATATATTGCAGCTTTGTCAGGCAATCCGAAAGGATTATCTTTGAGTTCTCGTCCTTGAGTGGGCATTACTCTCTCCTTATAGAATGCGCGGAGATATGACAATATCCGACTGATTAATACCTCCACTTGTGTACAGGTGTTTAGGGGAGCGCTTCTCTACCATATTTGCTAGCGAGAAAGTTCGAGGAGCAGCCTGACGTATACCAATAATTTTACAATCATGTCAGTGTAAATGTCTGCAACCTCTTTGCTCTCTTTGTAGCTGGAACTCTACGTTTAGAGGTCTTTTTTCTACCGTGATAAGCAGTAATTTAAGCTTGAGCGCTAGTTACGACTTGTTACGCGGTTCTAGAAACTTGCAGTGGGGCTCAATAAAAGTGAATTCGAACAGTGAAAGCTTCAGTACAGTGAATTAAAGAAAAATTCATCTCAATTACGCTGCATTGAACTGTGTCAAATGGGTCTGGACCCCTAATGCTGATTTGCCCATCATACACTTCTTTTAGGTGCTCTGGGAGGTTGTTTAATAAAAGTCTGCTCATATCAAATTTTGCCTTTGCTATGTCCGGTAAACTTCCAAACCAAAGTTTATAGCACACCATACACCGTGAGCATTATCAACGAGCATTACGTAATATTAACCGTCTAACTTCAAATCTCCAGCTTTATTCTCCTTCTGAAATGTAGTCGCGGCGTCTCCTGAATCTGGACGATTTTGCGATCTGCGTGCTGGAATGATTCCTAAGTGGCTCTATTTTTTTTTACTCTCAAACAACCGAAGAAAGGGTTGTGAGTGCTCTTGGCTTTTGCTAGATGTACGACTAGAATATAAGGAGCATGACCAATATGATCACCATTAGAACTGCTCTAATCGCAAGAGATACGCTGATTGTGAGAGTGACTCTAATCATAGAAAGATTAATATTTGGCGTCAAAAACGTTTGCTCCGCTCCTTTCTCTGGCTTCATGACCAGCACTGTAAAGACTTACATCGAGAGAAATTCCGTCAAAAATGGTTTCCAGTCTTGTTGATACGAGCACACGGAGTAGCTGAGGATTGAAAGTGTCTGCCAGTATATAATCGTTTGTTATGACCACTTGAAGAGAAATGGCGAACCCTTGCTAACTTGAAGAAGTTATGGGCTGCGTATACGTATCAAATGGAAGTGATAAAATTCATTATTCATGGGAGTAGTATTCATTCGCGTTCATCTCCTTCAATTAGCTTTCTGTCAGAAGTTAAACCTTTTTCAAATATCCCTCGCTTTACTGCGAAAAATTAGCCTTTGCCAGACTGCCCTGCATGCATCGTGGATGTCATCTCCATCTTCATTGTATCTCTCTGAAGCAGTGAATTCTGTTCCTTCCATATGTTATATACGTCAACATTACCCAGCCCGTACTTCTCGGCTTATGATCTCCAGCCTCAAATTCTAAACATAAAGACGTATTTTTTATGCTTTATGTTCATTTCAGAGTATGTGTCCGCTTTATGGTTACTAGTCTACTTGATACAACCGAAAAATTACAAAAACGAATCTCGCTAAAAATTTGACATCAACGGAATCATTTAAACTGCTGATGACGAAACTGATATGGTTTTCATTTTACATGATAGTGTCCTCTTGGGGGGATTACGGTGGACATGTGGTATGGGGTCAAAATCTCAAAGCTACCTGAAAGTTTGCATAGAGTATTTATTTGATCTGGTGGTCACAAATGCACACTATTTCCGCACAGAAACTTCTCCCTGCATAGTTACGGTAAAGATGCGGTGGATGTCAAAACCACAAACGTTTCTGAAATTTTGCCTAGGCTGGCTATCTAGCACGGAAGACATGTGTAACATATAGATTTCCATGGTAGAGCCGTTTTTCTCGGCAGTAGATATAAGCCAGGAGGTCGAAGGTTGAAGTTCCCAATCTGCTCAAAACTTTGCTCAGAAGGGTTTACGATATGGAATACGAACACTATTCTTGTTCGCTGCAATAACACCTTATTATAGAGCTGTGGTGATTTGCAGTTCAGATTTTCACCGCTTTCAATCGGGGGGGGGGGGGGGGGGGGAGGGGGGATCAACCTTTGGGATGACCGGCCCTCAACAGACCTCATCGGAGTTTGACAAAACTCAACATTTGAGCGCAACAAAGCACACTTCGTAGAGTCATCTTCTGGATATAGATGCTCTTTTTGCAGGCGTCGGTGACAGGAGGGACCATGTCCCCATCCATCTGCTGGGTTCTACCGATTCGGCGGCTGGTTTAGTTACCCATTCTGAGCAAAAACCTTAGCACATTCTTTTTTTCCTCCGTTTTCAGTAAGACCAACAAATTCAAAGCTTGATATTGCCTCACAAGAACTTTCCTGTGCTAAAGTGACAAGTAGCATGGCCTAAGGCGAGGGCAGGCTCTTGAACTGGGAATGTCACGGAACGGCAAGACTTCGTCGCCCAGATACATATGAGCCGTTGATTTTAGAATGTGGACAAACTGCTAGCTGAAAGAACTATGCTTGAATGGGCACTTCTTCCATGAATAAATGATGTTATCACTTTATCAAGGCTTTATGGAACGCCCTCCATTTAGTTTAATCAACAAGGGTTTGTCATTTGATTACAAGCGGTTATAACCAGACGGTCATGCACTGGCAGGCTTCTTCAATTCTCGGCTACTCAGAAAGCTCGAATCACCAACAAGAAGCCATGTTTGAAGCAGTTTCACTGGATGTAAGTCTTTCACTGCTGATTATGAAGCCAAAAAAGCGGGGCGAGCGATTTGATGCAAAATACTGATTTTTCTATGATTAGAGTCGATTTTACGATTAGCACATCTCTTCCAATCACGCCAGTCCTATAGCTGATCATGCTGACCATGCTATTAATAATCTACGCTTTGACTCAACCGGATTGGCGGCTGGAAGGAGGGGCTTTGTGACCTAATCAGGGCTAGAAAATGATCAGAGAGCACATTCGCGAGAGGGACGCAGATTGTGTCGCGACCGCGGGCGGTCGCCTTTTAGCCGCCACTATCGTTGAATCAGGGGGTAAGTTGTACAGCTATCAAAAGCCAAGGGCCATAGCAGGCCATTCTTCAACGAAGATACGGAAAATCAAAGCCAGCTTAGGAATCATTCCAACAGTGACTACTTCAAATCGCAAAACGGTCCAAATTTAGGAGACATCGCGCTGTGAAGGATTCAACCCTTTCAGGCGGAAAATGAAGCTGAAGATTTGAAGTTTTGACAGTTGATATAACGTAATGCTCTTTGATAATGCTCACAGTGTCTAGTGTATCATAAACGTTTGTTTGGAACGTGAATGGACATAACCAAAGACAGAACTTAATGAGCAGACTAGACTCCTTTTAACCTCCCAGAACACCCAAAAGAAGTAAAAACAGACAAAGCAAGTGGGAGGTTCTGACACCAATCCTCTACCTATACAAATTCTGTATAATCGAAATCTGACTGAATGAAAAATTAAAAAAGATAACCCCACTGCAAGTCTCCTATGAATAAGTGATAATGGTTACAACTAAAGATCGAGCCCAAATTACTGCTTTTAAAGCAAAAGACTTTCAAATGGTAGCGTTCGAGCTATAGAGAGAGATCAGAGGTTGTGGATTTACTTACACTATCACCTTGTGATCTCAAACATTCTCGTTAGCAAATTTGTTTGACCAAAAAATCTTCAAAGTGTGGGGATGCCACTCTCCATCATTCCAAAAAAAAACCATGGTTGCCCTCCCCTTCCGACAGAAATCCTGGGACCGCAATTGGTGTGCAGGTATGTATCGTTTGTTCCCCAGCAAGGTTCCCATAGGTACCACGTCATCTCGCTACCTTTCGCACTTTTAAACGTGTTAACCTCGGCACTTCCGTTGAAATCTCAGGATAAACGTGTCAAAAAAAGCGAAAGGCAGCGTCGCACCACGTACGCACGCTGGTTCACATGGGAACCTCTCTGGGGCGCAGACGGTACATATCATCTATTCTATGACTAGGAGACGCGTGACCGCTTTGCGGGCATTGTCTTAACATGTTTGAGTTTGTTCTTCCCTGTTTCCAAAGAGTGAATGAACCTGGACGAGATAAATAACAAGTACAAACCTGCCAATTTCACGACTAGGCTTGTTTAGACAGGATCACGGTAGAAACTTCAAGCACATGGTGCCACTGTGAGAAGAACTTGCTTCTTGAATTTTCAAAAAAAATGTGGGAACTTATGTAAAAGGGTCTGCATACGCTAGTTCAATAAACTATGTACAAGATTAAGCTTTATCAAAAGGTCTATCCACACTTATGAAGCAACATTGAAAGAACGGCCGCTATTATTACCTCGCATAACTTTTTGATGAAACATTATGACAAGTTGCGAACTTCACATTTAGAATCAGCAGCTCCAATCAGCCCATTGTGAGAGTTTTAAGATTGTTTTGCTTCCTTTCTCGGGGAGAATATGGCCTTTCATGGTTCAAAACCCTTCCAATATTCCTACCGTAATCCTACAGTAATGGAAAGCAGTCGGTGATCCGCTCCATGCCGCAAGTCTAGGTTGAAGCCGACTCTACGAAATGGTATCTAAAGCTTCTCGAAAGGCTTCATTACAGGAGAGTTATTTACAATCAAACAGAAGGCACATCTTTTTGAGACAGCCTACATTTCGCAGATAAACATCAGTTTTTTGGGCTGCTAAAATTTCATTTTTCAGTTTTGATAGTGGCGATTGCTCTTTGGTATACCCATGAGTTAGAGTGAAGTGCTTGTAGAGTTCAGCTTGCGTGTCTGACATATCGGGCATCATTTACAGCGGTAGGAAGGGTTATTTCAACACAGGCGATTTATAGCATGCAAAGACTGCGTATGTATCGGCGTCTCCCTGATTGAGCGCTCTTTCGTTTCTCTCACCATCTGCTGTCGCTCTCATACACGAACTATCTTGGCCGAACGCAACGGCGCCCAGTCTTTGCGTGTCGTGAATCGTATATAGCTCATTGCAGTAAGATAATCTCCAGTTGATGTGTTGTTCCGTTGCCGTATCAGTTACGATACAGATAAAATAAAAGATGAAGGGATAGTTTGTCGCCCAGAAATTTCCGATAGGTACGACGTCAACTCGCTTCTTCTCGCTCTTCGAACATTTTAACTTCGCAAATTCAAGGCATTTCTCAAAGTGAACGCGTGAAAACGACCGAAAGGCAGCGAGTTGACGTTATTCCTTTGAGAACTTTCTGCTAGCCCAACAGCGAGTGATGGACGCGCACATATGACAATGTACGTAATCGCACCGCAGTGTACAAACATACGTCTCTCTTGCTGCCAGCTGACAATCATCCCGTTTCGATGCCTGTAGATACGTTCTCTGCTTTTGCATCGACAAATCGTTGCTCAAAGATTTCCTTTTTTTAATGCAGAGTTCTCATGAAAATTTAGTGAATTCAAGCCGTCTACGCAACTCTTTTGTTGGAAATTACTTTGGAATCGTGTAGTTGGAACATAAATTGACAAATCGACTGTTTTAAAAGAATAGTGGGAAGAAGTAGTGGTTGCTGCTCGCCCAAGTTTTAGAGCTTTCGCTTTATGTCTTCTTTTTCAGAACTGGCTAGTAGTTCTGCAGGGAAGCATTGTGGAAGGACGGCACAATGGTGGGCGTTTCGGATATTCCGGAGCAAATCGTCAATCTAAACGTTGGTGGACAACGATTTGCAACTAGCTCACATACGTTGACCTGGATACCTGACTCATTTTTCACAAGGTATTTCCAATTTTTCTCAAATCTTTTGAAATCTTGCAAGAAAGCATCGGTTCACTAGTGAGTTTACCTCTTGCAGTTTGCTAAGCGGTCGGATACCTACGGTACGTGATGATAATGGCGCGATCTTCATCGACAGAGATCCAGATGTGTTCCGGATAATATTGAACTACCTACGAACCAAGCAGGTGGATCTAAGGTGAAAGCGGTTTTTCTTGAGGGAAGGAATGGAGCAGCAAAAGATAATTTGATAACTGCTATGGGCTCCTTGAGAGCCCTTGCATCTGGCGGTCCGTGCTTTTGCAGTGCTGACAGCACTTGCGCGTGAAGAAGGGGCCATGGGGAACAAAGCTTGTAAATTTGCGCTCTATAGGCATATCACTTGCGCAAGTTGTCTAAGTTAAAACATTGTAGTTTATTTACGCGCATTTACTGTCCTCACCGCAGAGGCACTATGTGGTTTACTTGCCAACCTCAACGCTCCATTTTGGGCACTTCAGCTGCGAAACTATCTGACTCGTACTGAAGCGTAAAGCTCTCGTTTATATGTTCTTACTCATACGCTTTAGAAGTTGCTCACATGAAAAAATATAAAAGTTGAACTATTATCTAAAATTACAAGTTTTGATAATAGTGAGTATTCAGCAACATCGCCCCCAGCACACTAAAACACGAAGCACAGTATTTTGGTTTGGCTCCGCTAGTTCGACGCTTGACACTCTGTGAAGAGTTGGATGTCTCTTCATGTGGATCGGTTCTATTCCATGCGATGATTCCAGCACCAAATCTGCCATTTGAGCGTGCAATGCCTGAAAGGAAGGTTAGTGGATGTTCTGTTGTACTGTTAGTATCTTGGCAAAACTATTATCTCCCAGTGTAAAGTGCTGTCTATAGTGGGAAAAACAGATAAAACATTTTCGCATTATGTACCTATCTCGAATTGAGTGAGGAAACAAAATTAATTGTTTTTAGGCTGAAACTAGCGGATCTTCTGATAATTCTGCGCAGACCAAAGTAGCAGGTGGGTGTAGTTGCTTGCATCCATGGCTCAGTTTTAGCACTATTCAAGGAAAAAGTATGTGGATATCTTACAAGAAATTCACCTGGGAAGTCCCATATGAATTTTTTTTATAAGATTTTATGTATTTTTTAACACTATTCCCCTCTTTTTCCATAATATGTTGGTTGGTAAATCGTTGTCGTAGCACGTCTGGCGTAATTAATAAGTAAATAAATACACGAATAAATAAAATGAACTCATTGCATGAGCGGCCGTTACATGACTCATTCGTGGCCGCGAAATTTATTTTCAAGTTCTTTCGACCTTACCGTCTTGTGAGTAGCTGTCCTGTTCAAATGAGTACGTTTTGGACTAAAGATAAAGTTGAATTGCTCGGCCTTGAATAAGTCATATAAGCTAGTTTGTGAGCATCTTGTTGAGGTTCCATAGTTGGTGTCCACATAAGAAGTCCAAAAATTCATATTCACCTGAAAAATTTTATTTCGTCTCTTAGGGGAAACAACAAAGTCTACATCAAGCAACGATGCAACTGGATGCGGCTGTTATGGTAAGACGCAGCAGTCGGGAGGATCCACAAATACAGGTGAACGTATGGAAGGATGGTACTCAAGGCATGGCAGTGGGCACAGTACGCCGCGGATCTACGGTCACTGCAAGAAAAGTTCCTATGAGCTGGCCAGATATGTAAGTGAGCTCTTTTGTCAGTTATTCACTTTATTTACGGCTTATTTCCTGTTTTCCTGTCCACGAGTCCAGATCTTTAGATTCGGAATGAGCTCTCACAGCTCAAGCATCAAACTAGATCCCCATCTGAGGATGAGCTCGATCCACTGCGAGTACGCATTGTAAAAGCCCATCACAACTCCATCATTGTCGGTTATGCGTATTACGCATGCGTCTATCGGTAATAATGCTGTAACTCCCATTTTGCACGATTATCAGCTCAGTGTTTTAGGATGAAAGAATCGCTTGGATGGCAAAGTGTGTACAGTACACCTCGCATGGAATCGTTGATCAAACATGTTGCGCTGAATACGAAGTTTGGGCCACAGGTGATATTATTTTTAGCTTTGATATGATACTGCGGAAGAAACTATGTTCAGAATACGGATAGAATGGTGGCTGTTGCATTGGCAAATGGCAGTATACTGTTGTGGGCTTTGGAAGATGGAGATAATGCGTCTAAAATTGGTTAGTGCTGTCTTTACAATTACATCCGACCTTGAAAAAGTGTATCTGCATACTCCACATCCTTCCATTCTCATGTTTCAATGTTAGAAATGTTACTTCGATGTTTTTTCTGTAAAAAATTAGTATATTTAGGAACATTCTCGCTCTCTGTAGCTGTGGATAAGCTATTTTTCATCGGTAGCCAAATGGTGGCTCTAAGCAGAACCGGAAAAGTTGGGATATGGCATTCGATGACACACAATTGGCAAGTACAAGGTACGACATGCACAAACTTTCCATTTCATCAAAGCCTGCAAATAGTCGATTATCGTTTCGATATTTTCATGTTCGATATAATGAGTTCACTTTTGCAAGGGTGCGATTTTTTAATTCAAATTTTTCATCTCGAAAGTTTCACGAAGGTTTTTCTCCTGTTTGGAAATCTTCCATCGTTAGTCGAATAAAAAGTCTTAACGGTCTTGGTGTGACTGCGGTAGAGGCTGCTTTTGAAAGTGTCAAGATGCATGAAAAGTTGATTTTCGGACATCTTCTGCTGTTATCCTTTCTAAAGTTTTATTTAGATGTTGTGGCTATATCCTGCTATGACACCGCCGGATCATCGCTCTTGCTAGGTTGCACGAATGGCTCAATGTACTACATCGACATGCAAAAGTTTCCACTGAGGTAAATTCCCATTAACAGGTCTTCCCTGGATTGTTTTCACCCATATGCTAACGATCATTGTTCAGAATGAAGGATAACGATTTACTAGTCACTGAACTTTACAAGGATCCAAATGGTGATGGCATCACTTCCATCAGTGTTTATCTGACTCCAAAAACAAGTGAGCGCATTGACTTTGACGTACCGCTACGTATTCAGTTTCTTTTCAGATGTTTGCGGAAATTGGATTGAAATTGCTTACGGAACTTCGTCTGGTGCTGTGCGAGTGATTGTGCAGCACCCGGAAACCGTAGGACATGGCCCACAGCTCTTCCAAACCTATACTGTACATAACTCGCCGGTGACTCGAGTCACACTAAGCACAAATCACTTGATTAGCGGTATGTCAACTTTCATGAATAATTTATTTGCAGCAATGCCGTTAATTATGTTTAGTCTGCTCGGAGTATAATCACGTCCGGTCTTGGATGGTGACACGTTTTCGAGGAATGATCAGCACCCAGCCCGGCAGCACAAGTTTGGCTTCTTTCAAAGTGCTGACTTTGGATTCTACAGACGACTCGGTGGACAGAGATTACGCTGATCCTGGTGAGCTGAATTTGCTTTGTTTAATTGATCACGTCAGCGTTAGAGTTTTTTTAACCTCAGGGCCATATGGCGACCAGGATGGAGACCAAGTCTTTGTCCAGCGAGTGGTACCCAACACAAATCAGTTATTTGTTCGACTAGCTTCGACAGGAGAGAGGTCAGACTCAACACTTCTGTTGAACTAATTTTGGAGTAGAACTCTACTATGGTATTTCTATACCACCATTTTGCTCTTTCAGGATATGTACGATTAGATCTGTAGATGGCGCCGCCATTTCTTCCTTCACTGTGCATGAGTGCGAAGGATCGAACAGAATGGGTAGCCGACCCAGGCGATTCCTGTTTTGCGGAACAACGAGCGGAAGTGTGCAGGTTAGTTCTAGTGCTGTGCACATAAGTTTTCAGCCAGATTAGAAACTTGTACTTTATACTAAACTCTATGTCTGCTAGCTGTTTCCGTTATCTCTGATTGTGAGTCTCATTTCCCCTGCAAGGGAATTGATCCTTGCTTTGCACTTTGATTGCAAGCTGTTGTAATGTACTTCAGCTTTGCAGCAGTTGTGCTTCTAGAATCTTACAGGCTTGACGATTGAAAATAGGTTCAGCAAAAATGCGGCATCATTATAGTTGTTCTAGATCTGCTGACCTCTCAAAAATGACCGCATATTTTTGCAGCACTGACAACTGGCTTGGCGGCTGGAAGGCGGGGTTTTACCTAATTAATCCGCTCGTGCACGCGACGCAGTCTGCGTCTCTCCCGTGCGCGTGCTTTCTGATCATTACCTCGCCTCAATTAGGTCACGAAGTCCCGCCTTCCAGTCGCCAAGCCAGTTGAATCAAAGGGTGGATCTATCTTCGTCCTTACTGGAACCTTTACGATTTGATGACTTTGAATCTTAGATGTGGGACTTGACGACCGCGTTAGATCAATACATGGCAGCTCGTCAGAATCCGCTGACTACTGCACCTTCAGCGAGTGGTATGGATACGTTGAAGCCAGCATCGGGCGCAGTGAAATTACCACCTACGTTACTGCAGGTTTGGCCTCTAATTTTCTTTTTGAGCACATTTACACGATTGATTATAGGGTTTGAATGGGCCATCACCCCAAGAACTTTTACAATTAATTGACGAGTGCGAGATTTGCTGTAACAGTATGAGTCCGACGCCTGCATCAACTCCGCATTCATCTGTAGCACATCTTCCGGGGCTTTAGATTATCCAGAGCTTTGGGGCTTCACATCATATCAACGAGATAGAAATTCGTGCTACCATATAGTTCATGATAAGCAAAAACCGATGAATACAGCTGAAATATGCAAATTTTAGCTTTTGAGGGTACACATGCAGCTGACAGTTTCTGAGAGTTTTGAACACTATGGCTTCGAGATACATTCCATTTACAGAGCATCTGTGATATTATACTCGCAAATTTGATAGAATTATGTTCAGTTGGCATACATAGAGAACTTGGCATCAACACTTATCCTTTGATGAATAAAGAATGAAAGAAAGAGAGAAAATTCAACTTGTTAGCTCGTCTCTTCATGCTCCAATTCACCGGAGCTTCAGCGGAACAAGCCAAATTTGCAGCGGTTCCGGAGGACTTTGTTTACTATTACGAAATGGAGACCTTGAGAATGGGAACTTCCGCGGGTTATTCACGTAAAAACTGGAACTTCCACCGGGCTTTTTACAGAGCGCTGCGGAATTTCCGAAAAATGCCAGCAGTTCCGGTTCCGCAGCTAAATATGTTGTCTCTTACGATGTTGTCTCGCCAACGACTAGAATGCATTTTTGAGCATATCATAGTGCAGAGGATAGTGAGTCTCGCAGTCAATAGAGTAATTTTCAAATTTACTTCAAATCATCAAAATGTAAGATCTAAAAATTGTGTACATTCTGCCTCAATCGAGAACAATCCCATCAGCTCAGCTCCTACTCAAAATATCCCCGCAAAAACCTGAAAAATAAATAGAGGAAAATTTTTTCTCTCTCTCTCTGCCACCGCAGGCACTTCTCAATACAATTGTCAAACTCTAAAATATTGATTTTGTATTTACTAGTTTGCTTGATGTGATTATAACTTCGCTGTGATTGTGTTGGTCCTAAAAAATTCCTGCTGCTAATGTTTGCTGGAAGACTTTACAATAATAAAGTTGAATTAATGCACATAATGAAAATAAATAAAGCAGGCTAAAGCAGGTCAGGAGTTTTTGCCTACCATGACTTTAGTCAGCAAAAACTCCGCCTATTTCCGTTTTGACTACGATGTTTGCATCCGAAAATAGCATAAAGAACAGGTTTTCATGGGAGAGACACTTCCGCCGGTGAAATTGTGGGATGGGTGCGTTCTAGCTACAGTAAGTCGTTTTGGGTGAAACGTGATGGCTGAGCAAAAGATCTGCGAGGTGAGGAACCAAGCATTTAGGGCAAGGTTTGTTTGGAAATTGGTCCTCCTTACCTCGTGGATGTTTACTTGGCCAATAAAATTTGCCCAAAACGTCTTACTGTAGCTATAAATGCCCCCCCCCCCCTCACCCTAATCACCGGCGGAAGTGCCTACCGTAAAAACCTGTTCGTGATGCTATTCTGAGCAGCACATAGTGAGGGGACCACATAATCAGGACCACACCCCCTTCGATGGATCCTAGGCATATAATAAAAAAACATCTTACCTTTATCGTCCCACAATCTCGCCAGAGGAGGGCACTCTACTCTTCCAACTAGTTCGGCAGTAGATCGTGCCTGGACCACTTGAACACGGCCACGCCCCTTTTTGGTGGCATCCTAATCCCACCCTCTGAGGGATCAAAACAGCACTTTACTTTTCCGTTAATTAAATGTATGTTTGGGCGAAAGCGACTCAATAATCAGCTCAAATATCCATCGTATCTTCTGTTCGAACATGATACGGTCATCAGTGTTGAGTGATAAATCAATTAGTTGTGTGCGTATACGATCACTACGAACCTGTTCGTGGTCTCGTGTGCCGATAACAGATCATTGACACTAAAATGGGCGGAGACGCACCGGAAGGCAAACGATTCCTTCTCAAAATCAACAACAATGAGGACACCTCCTTATCTGTGGGGATCGAAAATCATCATTTTATCTCTTTGTTCAATTATTTACACCTTCGTTTATCGGTCTAAGTGTAAATGTTTGGAACTTTGAGCCTCTTCCATCATTTGCTTATAAATTTCTTCCATTCGTTTGTTTTCGCTGACTTATATTGTTCATTTCCACTAAAACAATACAATTATAAATATCAAGAACTTCGAAAAAGGAGTTGTAAACAAATACAACGATTTTCTAATTTCCCTCACGATCTTAAAAAAATTCAAAACTTTTATGCAGTCCCTTATAATGTGCTCCATTCTTCAGTACTGTGGGAGGGTCATACTAGTTGTGAAAAAAAAAACAATATCATTAGAAACTAACCTGTTTCTTTTTTCCCCCAAGTAGATGAGGGTTCAAAACTTTCTAATCTCATCTGTAAAGGAGTGGAAGAATTGAAAACCGAATAATAATTTCCATAAGAGGTTATAGAATACAAGCACACATTACAATTTTTTTTGATTTTTTCATGTCTACCTACCATTTGACGCAGTTTTTCTCGTATGTGTTGCTATTTGTTATTATTTTTCATTATTTGTATGGCTTGGAAACTTTTGTGCCTGCGTTTTCACTGCCCTATTTGAAGTGAATCTGATAGCAAACTAGACGTCCAGGGCGAATGTCTTTCTGTCTACAGAAAAAAATTTGCACTAATTGAAAACATCCTTGTTGGGTAGTGATCAAAAACTGAAAATTCAACCTTTATTTAGGATCGATCATCTTTTGAAGTAAGTCATTAGTCTTGAAAGGAAAGGATATCGGCATAGGTTGGAGATGAACACGAGATGTACGGGTGTCCTAAAAAGATGTGCCTACTCTTTAATTGTTAATAACTCTCTTGTAATAAATTCTTCCGAGAAGCTTCAAGTACCATTTCGCAGAGCTGACTTCAGCTTGAGTTTACAGTTTGGAGCGAATTAAAATCTTTATCACTGTAGGAGCACGGTATGAACTTGGAGCAGGTGGCGGCACTGTGAAAAAAGCCTTGGAAAAAAAATCTTAAAAAATCTTCCAAATTCTGTGACAAGCTTTTCAAGCATGCTGATTTCAGGACACAGATTTTTGCGTTTCCGTAGAGCTTTTTAAATGGCCTAATGAGATTTTTGGTGAATAGCAGAAATTGGTTGTTGTGGTTCATCTGGCATAATTTATGGAGAATGGGTAACGGTGAAGCGCGAGTTTCGTGTGAAATTGACGGCTCTGATTATTCTAGCACAGTAGCTTTCATCTTCTTTGGTTCTACTTTAGAGGTGAAATATGACCCTGAATTACTCTAAACTTTCCTCAAACTTCTACCGTAATCCTACAGTAATAAGAGAGTTTTTTAGTTTGCACTATACTCCGAATCTAAGTTGAAGCCAGCTCTACAAAATGATACCTAAAGCTTTTTGGAAGACTTTATTACAGAATAGTTATTAATCAAACAGTAGATACATCTTTGAAGGAACACCCTCTAAAATATCAGACGCGCCTTTAAACGCTGATTCCAAATCTGCTTTTCTTTCTGCGAAGCAATTTCTCCAAAAGAAGTTATGAGCGTTTGTAAGTTTAAACTTTTTAGACTCGAATGAAAGACCATAAAGTTAGCGAAAAGGTGTACAAAAATAGCGGAAAGCTTGCGATTAATTCTGTATCAAACAGATTGTCTACAAGGAAGGATTAGAGACAGTGGAAACTCGCATAGTGTTTCTGTAGAGCTTTTCGCTAATTTTATGCCACTTTGACAATTGTGGGCATCAAATGCTCTTAACTTCTATGGAAGAATTGTTCCGCAGAAAAAGAAAGCAGATTTAAATCAGTCTTTGTACACGCGTCTAGTGATTTACATCTCGTCATCAATCGCCTACTTAGGCCCCGGCCAGACTTCGATCAAAAGAGCGCAAAAGCGCCCAAACTCAAAAGCCTCCAAAAGCGCTTAAATTTCTCCAATGTCTCTTGACTTTTTTGTGTGAGAAGGTGAGAGAATTAGAGAAATTTGTACGCTTTGGGGCCGCTTAGGCAAAGTCTGGCCAGAGCCTAACTTGGTATCCATATTTGTCTAGGATCTTTACAAAAATATCTTGAAATAGAGCAGCACAAAATACGACGTAACCCTTTGATTCAATCGAATTGGCGGCTGGAAGGCGACCGCACGCACCCGCGACGCAGTCTGCGTTTTTTTCGCGAGTTTGCTCTTTGACCATTCTTTAGCCTCGAAGCCTCAAAACCCCGCCTTCCAGGCGCCAATCCTGTTGAAGTCTTCTTCTTCTTCTTCTTCTTATTTGTTAGAATCATCATCAATGTGTAGTCATTGACTGAAAACTGAAAGGTTCCCTTTTTTCTATTTGTTTTAAGGGATCTCTATGCTACTACTGAGTCATTATCATTAAACTTACTTCAACTTCGCTACACGTCCTGAAATTTTGAGATTGAAATAAATCTCGTTTTGATAGCGATTATGTTATCAATATCATTTATGTTGATGTTTGCTATAAATGACAAGAACATTCCAGCAACAAATTAGAGATTCATCAAAGGCATCATGTACGGGAGCTTATCAGTGTTTTTATTTATGCGAAGAAGAGCGTGATCTATGATTTTCTCAGGATTCTCTTTCAAGCATCATCTTTCCTCAGATATGTCTGCTTAATGTTCTTTTCCCATCTAGGTCACTAACTACGCATTATGTAAACAATTTGATATCAATGGAATTTTTTTAAATTTTAGTCATCATAGGCGAGAAAAATGTATAAAGCTTTTGATAAGATAACTCCTCGTCATTTGTGACTAATTTTTTGACTTAAAAAATACTTTCTATAGACTTCCTTTCCCAATGTCATTGTCTGTTTTTGGTCTTATTTTGATCTTTGTTTTGATGATACTGTTAAATAACAGGTTTTTTGATGGAAAAGACGTCAGAAGTATGCTCTCACTTCCCCTGAGACCAAAATACTGTGTAAAAGAATTTAGAAAGGCTCCATACGCACAGTGCCAAATTCTTTTTCGATTTCCTTTGACTAATATATTCACTCGTGTTGATTGCCAGTAACTTAGGCCCGTATGCACGTACATCCCCGCGGGGAGGGGAGGGGATCTGAGCGGGGAAGTGTCACATCTCGCTAGTCTATGTATCTTTCTTCTTCTTTCTCTATCTTGGTTTTGAAGGTTCTCATACACTGATACTTGCGCATAATGGATGCCAGGTTAATGCCATGCAAGATTAGATATTCGCTATTTCGTCTGATCCCCTAGGGATCCCCAGGGGATCACCTCACATTTTCAAAGCTATTTATCTTCCTGAAAACTCGATGAAAATGCTCTAAAATTGTGCTGTGGATATACTACAGCACTGCTAAACATGTTTATGGTAGAAATGAGTGAAATCTCAAAATATCAAGATCTTCGATGAACCGCTGCTCGCGAGCCAGGGATTATCAAAAAAATCAAAACCTTCGGATTCCATTTCTTCTGTCGAAAACATGCTCAGCAGTGTCGTAGTATATCTTCAGTACAATTTTGCAGCGTTTTCATTGATTTTTAAGGAATATACCCAGGGAATCGGATGAAATAATGAATATTTAACCTTGTATAGCAGTAACCTGGCATCCATTATGCGCAGGAATAAGGGTATGAGAACCTTTATAAGCACGATAGAGAAGAAGGAAGAAATATATCTAGAGCAGCGAGATATGGCACTTCCCCTCTCAGATCCCCTCCCCTCCCCGCGGGGATGTACGTGCATACGGGCCTTAGATTTATGATAGCGCAGTTATTGTTTTCTTGGTTCATTTACATATCCTTACAGTTTGATAGCACTTTATATAACAAGAATTTGTTTTGCAAAATTTGTGAAACGTATTATTTCATTATTTTGATTATTCCAGTTTCATCTACAAGCATGGTAAATGAATCGACATCCAAATCACCTTCCGATGACTCACTCAACACGTAAGTTGCATACTTTGCTTGATGGTACGACGTATTTGGTTGTGCAATTGCACTAAAAACAAATCTGAAATGCATTCTGATTCACATGGTAATTCTTTCTCAAGGAACGAATTTCACCAACATCTGTGTGCATTTTCTTGGATAAAAAGGAATTTTATTAGATGTGCGACACTCTAACTTGATGTGTTAGACACTGTTTAGCAAGGATTTTTGGTGGAATATAGAGTGAAGCTTATACTTTTTTACCATCTATTCAAATTTTAATGGAGCTCAAATATATCCCAATATGCTCAGTCCAAAAAAATTATCTCTCACAGTTTGTAGACTTCTTTTTCATTTTGTACCGGCTAGCGGAGTATTTTGACAACTGATTATATCGAATAGCTTTGGCTACTCAACGAATAGCGATGAAATTGTATTTTGCACTTTATTTGTCAGAAATGTGAAAATGTCACATCTGTACGCGGAAGTCGATTTTTGAAGTGAAGGGTAATTTATGACAACGTACATGCCAAAATTTATGTGTATTTAAGTACCAAATTTACCTTTTAAGCTTTCAGTGCGTACTCAAAAACCTAAGTTTCCAAAGATTCGGATAAAAATCGGAGCATCTCACTTTTTTGCGTCATTTCGTTAGCAAAGAAAATTCACTGATTTATAGGCTTTTCTTTGCACTGGTATAATATTTAACAGTAAATGTTCATGCACAAAATTGACTGTGTTATTTCTGCAAACCATTCATATAGATTTATTCTATACCTGTTTGACTCCATTTTTGTGGGTACTCTAAGTGAAAAACGATGGGAATTTTTTCATCAAATTGAGACAAGCAGCATGATAGCTAAGGTTCAGAACGAGTTCATTTCAGTCATGAGCGAGCTCGTTTGATGAAAAGAGGACATCGACTTCAACGGCTTCGACTGCCTACTACACCTTATGTTCCGGAAGCTTCCCCATGTACACCGTGCTCTGTATTTTCATTCGATCTTCCCAACAGTCCTGTGATTATGACAGGACGTCCGAGGTAATCTACGAAAAGTGAAACCAATCGAATATTGATTAAATTGACTTTTCAGGTTCCATCGATCGGTCAGCCATGGAGCACCACTCACTCCAAGAAGCATTTTCTCATTTGATACAGCTTTCGATTTTGCATCTCCAAAGAGTCCCCGGACTCCGCGGACGCCGATGACCCCTATCACTCCAAAAACTCCCAAAACACCGAAGTTCCCCGAGCTACCGACAATTGAGGAGTCAAGGAATTCTTTCAGGTAAAACAGTACAGCGATGATTGTCGTAGATTATTTGCGAATCTACGACCTTTACCATTGTAGAGTCATATTGTATGCTATATTCAGTATCCACTAGTTTGTCGTTGACAGACATTACTGTTCACTGACCACTTAAGCCGCCAGGTCACCCCTCCACTGTGCTTGATAGTCTACTTGGCGGCGCCTACTTTCATGTAGGCAATCCTTGATTCTGTATGATACTGTTATTTGCCAGAAGTGAGCATTCAGGTTATCCACGCCCAAAATAGTGGCATAAAAGGGCCTGAATACTCAGTTCTGGTGTTGGTTCGATATAATACCACTATCGTCAGCGGCTGTTCCGCATTATTCACTGTTAATAGTCAGCGGCTGCTCCGCTACTATCTAATAAACAGTTATACCCGTTGTGGTACCAGCTTGGTGTATACCAAATTGGTGCATCGGCCAACGGATCGTCTCTTCGGTGCTGCTCACCGAAATTCGATAAAAGTCCCGCGTGGCAGGCTACTAACAGCAATTTGGTATAAACCAAGCTAGTACCACAACGGGTATAACTGTTTATTAGATAGTAGCGGAGCAGCCGCTGACTATTAACAGTGAATAATGCGGAATAGCCGCTGACGATAGTGGTATTATATCGAACCAACACCAGAACTGAGTATTCATGCCCTTTTATGCCACTATTTTGGGCGTGGATAACCTGAATGCTCACTTCTGGCAAATAACAGTATCATACAGAATCAAGGATTGCCTACATGAAAGTAGGCGCCCCCAAGTAGACTATCAAGCACAGTGGAGGGGTGACCTGGCGGCTTAAGTGGTCAGTGAACAGTAATGTCTGTCAACGACAAACTAGTGGATACTGAATATAGCATACAATATGACTCTACAATGGTAAAGGTCGTAGATTCGCAAATAATCTACGACAGTGGGGCGCGCGACGGAAGGCGCGAAAGCAAGAAAAATACAAATTACACTATTACTGAAGCGTTAACAAATTCAAATTACATCATCACAACATTAGTTAAATTACATATATCACATGAGTTCTACAACAGGTTTGTGTCCTCGTCTAAGAATCCTACGGTGGTCGGTCATCGTGCCGTGATCGGCGTCAAAAGGAAGTTTCAAATGAAATTTTTCCAGTTTCGGAATCCCAGCCAAGGAAGATGCATCCACAGAAGACACTACCTCCACTGACAGTTTGTCAGGAAAAACCGATTGGAAATCAATAAGATTGATTATGATTGTTATATTGTTAACCCGAATACAATTTACTGTATACTTTGCCTCACTATGGCCTTTTCTACAAGAGGTATGCAACTTATTGATTTTTGAAATTGATGTTCTCGATCAATTAGTTTTTGTAGATCGATAGCACTGCCACGATGCAAGACTTTGCAATTATCAATGCTGCATACAGTGTTGGTATGGCTGGCTCCGCACCGTTTTTTGGTTATTTGTCGAATAAGGTAAGGGGGGAGTTGGCCCCTTGGCTATCTGCGGTTTCCCTTCGACACGGTATAAAATTCTTTCAATTATAGCTCGGATGTATTCGAACTCCATCACTGTACTCAATGGTGCTCATGCTTATCACGAATTTTATGTATATGTTTTTGCACGCCATTTCCGGATACGGTAAATATACAATGGGCGTGGCTAGGTTCCTGGGTGGAATTGCAGCAGGTTGGTCGTACACAAATTTGGAAATAAGTAGTCATCCACAGAATTTGTTTCCGAAGCAGGGGTCAGGGAGTACCTTTGCAGAGTGATGTGGTGTTATCCGTGTCCACCGAAATAGTTTCTTAGACCAATTTTCCGCAATTTCAAGAATGGCATCATAGAAAAGGGGCATGGCGTGTACAACGATCACTCAAATTGCTATAAATATAAAAATGCAAATAAAAATTATATAACACTTGGACGCTCTTAAATAGCTATACTCTTAGGTGGAAACTCATTATTACCAACTTACTGGACTTATGCAGCAGCACCAGCGGATCGTTCAACAGCAGCTGCACTCTTCGATGGTGCTTTTTGTTTAGGAATCGCTTTAGGACCAGGTAAACACAATTCTTCCAGACCTGTGTGCCTAAACGAAATGCCTATTTTAGTTTTCCAACTGGTCTTTGCGCCACTCGGCTTTCCCGGAGCTGTACTTGGTCACATTCAAATCAATATGTATACTATGCCTGCAATTGTTGCTAACATATTGGTTGGAATCACCGTCATAATGATGGCGTTTTATTTCAACGAGGCTCCAATGTACAGCGATGAGAAACGCGGGAGTGTTGATAGCTCAGGTACGGTAATCATTCAAAAATGACGCCCATTGGTATGAAAAATAGGTAAAGATCATTACCAAAAAATTTACAGAAAAAGGTTAAGGGGGGGGAGAAAGGGGTGAGGAGGAGGGAAAGGCCTCCCTATGAGATGATATACTATGGTTATTGTAAAAGCTGCAATATTTAGACCAATTTTTCAAGCATATTTTTTGCGGCGTTGGAAATGCTCTTGAACGTGCACATAGACATATCGTGCATCCCCCGGAATTGTTCCTATAGGTAACCAACGTGGCTGCCTTTAGATCGTTTTATGTTGAGTTCAAAGGGCCGGGCATACTTCACGCGATTTCAGTCGCGACGCGATTTGGCAATTCGCCAGAAGTCTTCAGATTCAACACTAGCAAACTGCATATGCATAGTGTGCGTAACTTAAGCGGATTGGTAAAATGCCTTGTCTTCTGTACATTTAAAATGTGCTTACAGTGAGTTATAAACAGTTGGAATATTGCCAAATCGCGTCGCGACTGAAACCGCGTGAAATATGCCCGGCCCTTAAGACAAATCCGCTGGAGTTAACATGTTGAAACGATCAAAAGACAGCCACATTAATGGTTCATATGGGAACAATTCTGGGGGGTGCACCATATGTGGTATGTCGTTTTCGCGTTGGGACATGAAACCACGCGAGCAACTGTAGAATATGGTAATAGGTAATTGTTGCACGGGCTTTGTTAACTTGCTTAATCTTTATCCGGAAAATTCTAGGACATTCGGCAAGGCTTCTCAATTGACGTGAACGTAGGGGCAATTTTCTAACAGCACGCCAACCTCCATTTTTCCTCATTTTTAAAATTCTTTCATTCTTCTTTTGTTTTTACTAGGTTTCATGTACTTCCGTGAGCATAAGTAATAGCAGGAAGGCAGTTCGAAAGTTGAGTTTCGTAAGCGTTGAAAATCTGCCAAATTCAGAAAAATTTCGAAACAAAAATTGTATTCTCCAAGTGTGACACGACATATGGAAAGTCCACAAGCTTCCATAACCTTGTAAATAAGCAAAAAAATGATCTGAAGGAATTACAAAAATTTTCGTTCAGTTTAACAAAAATCATGTGATGTCTTGGTATGCGAGTAAAAATGGTTGCTACCAAGAAAGTGAACGTCCTGATGTAGAAGTTTTTCTCCTCATTTTTGAAAAATTTTTCTTAAAATACGCAACAAATGATCTAAACAATTCAGATTCACAATCCTCTTACATCTCGCTACCTCCATTTGACAAAGTCGCTGTGTTCTGCTGTATATTTGCAAAAATGGTGCAAATGTTTATTTATGCAAACATGGAGACGTAAGTTTATTAGATTCTGGCATATTCGTCCAACTATCGATCGATAATGATCTGATTTTTAGTATTGGCTCAATGTACACTCAACAGATGTTCAATCTTACTCGAACAGAAACCACTGAATTCAACTCTGTTCTCGTTTCGTTGTCTGGTTTTATAGGATTCGCATTTCTACTCACTTATGTATGGACAAAAGTAGGAAAACGGTAAGTGTACTTCTCTAGGCGATAATGATTTTAATCAATAATCGATTTTTCTCAGGGTTGACAATCGCGTTGGAGCTTTGGCGGGTGTGTTAATCTGCGTTGCATTTTTATTCACAACTTATTCATGGCCATTCTATAGTGGAAATATAGAAAGTGATGGTGAGTACCACGCAATGATTTTCCGAGTACTTTGAAATTATAACAAGTTTGAGTCTGCCAAGTCTTTTTTAACAAGTTTTTTTTCACTTTTTTTAGAGTGTCACTCGCCCTGGTGTGCACATACACCTGGAATATCATGGGTACTTTATGCTGTCTCCTACGTGATAGTGTTCGGCATTGGATTTGCTCTTTTGAATGTTCATCTAGCGGCTATGTACGCAGGGGTAAGTTAGGAAATGTTCGAAAATTGTAATTTTGACTATAATCTATCATGAACTCTTGAAATTTGGGCCATTTCCGACATTTTTGGTCGCATGTGCGGAGTTTGCCACAAGGGGGGGGGCGAAGCTTTATGTTTCACATTTTATGTTTCATGCATAGACATGCATACATACATGCAGCCAGGTAGAGATGCACGGAAATGTCTTGTCCACAGAGACATACCCTAAAAAAATTGCTCGTCGTCAACGTCTTAACTGCATTTTCTAATTCGGCGATCGCACGAGTTATGAATTCTGACTCTTCGCAAAAGGCAAAATTTCTTACAGCTGTATATCTGTAAACTCATACATTTATATTTATATTTATTGCACGCGAAGTGCGCCCATCACAAATCAGGATGGTAGTAATAATCATCTAAAGAAAAAAGTGAGCGCAAGAAAAAAAACCTAGAATCATTTCTATTAAAAAAATGTCCTGAAACAGCAGCCACTCAGTTTTGAAGTTTTAAAGTTCTTGAGTCTAATACTACCAGACCAACATGAGATAGTGAAATTATAGCATTATTGGCCACCTTCATTGATCTTAGCCTACGTTGCTGAGTTAAGACCATGCATAACCAGAGGTAAGTCCCACCTGAAAATGGTTCAAAGTGTCACTTATCACTCCACACCACCAAACGTCGCCTCCAAGCAAGCTGGTTCTTGATTTATCCTTCAATTCTATTAATGTAGAAACTGTGCAGAGCAAGAATGACGTATTGGAAAACTACCCATTTGCGTGAAGTCCGCAAGGAAGTATAGGTTGTATCACCCATCATCGGTCGCGGGAGCTCGAGATGAAGGTGCGCGAGTGCGCCGCAGGCGGCGGAAATGTCGGATGGGAGACGGTCAAGAGGCGCGATTTCTGCGGCTGTCACTAGCTTAAAACTCCAGTTTAATGCTATGCGAGTCCTCAAAAAGTACCAAATAAAATGCATTAGCTTACTCACCGTCTGACATTAATTGCTGAGTTTGGTGGCTTTTGCTGGAAAATGGACCGAAATATTTACGTATTTGTTCTCAACTGCATTTTCATGGGTTTTTGACGTTCAAAGTTGCTGTTTTAAACCGATTCCACGATATTAAGATTGAACAACCCAACAACTATCTGATACATCTTCTTTTGAAATTTGAATACTATTAGAAAGTCGTAAAACACTTATTATGTGCTATTTGGTGTCATCTGGCAATAAAAATCGCGCCTCTTGATATACACCCCAAAAACAACTCAGTTGCTTACGCATGCAATGAAAACTAGAACCGAAAAGCCAGCAAGGAAGCTTATTGTCCACATGAGCAAAGAAACAAGCTGGATAAAAGTTGAAGTCGGGCTCGCAAATCTGACCACAAGCCCGCTTCCGCGCGCCCTTCTGTTTCCGCTGCTTGCGACGTGCGTGCGTCGCCTAATCTAATGGATACTCGGTATCGGGCTAGGTGATGCAGCCTATAAGTGGGGCGGCTGCAAACAGGTCACCTCATCCTACTGATAAACATCGAACATGATTTAATCTAGCATAGCGATATGATGGGAAGAAAATCGCAGTGATTGGCAGACAATCGTTTTATGTTCAAAACGCTTCCATCGCTTTCTTAACCGGCCTTCATTCATATGAAAAACTCAATTAATGTCGGAGTCGTTCCCTTTCTGCGCCTCGCTTCAGTGCCATCCTAGCCGTGGAACCGAGCTTACCTTTGCCTTTTCTCTCCCGGGTGTTCCTTCATTGCTCAAAAATCTTGTATATTGTCTGGTATACAAGGCTTGGCAGAAAGACAATCGCTGGTAGACTACTTTTGCTTTCGCGTGGTCCCCTAATCTACCATACGGGTATACTATGCATTGCGCGTATGAATATTGACCGTAGAGCCTGTTGATCTTGTTATTCGAAAATTTGCAAATAATAATACGATGTTTGATGGTTTGGAATCACATGTGACATCAAAACCATTCCAATTCTTTGAAGGCAGTGTCCCGGCAAAATTTCGCTTCCCGGTTTTTCACCTCTTTTTAGCCTTCTTGCCATACTGAAGCCATATCTAATCTTTTCAGCGTTAGAAAATGGCATAAATGAGATTTTTTGAAGCTTTCCGTGTCCGCGTTCGCTCCAAATTACGTGTAAGAAGTGGGCGGGGTCTGAAAGACTTCCGGAGTGGATTATGGGCTTTCCAGAAGCGCCTTTTCGCTCCAGACTTCACTGATAGACTAATTGGGGGTCTACCATTGGAACACTGTGGTAAAAGGAATGCGTCAAAATACTGGATTGTGCGATTAAAATAAAATCCTCTGGAAACCTGTGCAGCACAGAATTAATTCGAAGACGCGATCATGTCCAGGTTTCGAAAGACAGAAATTTTTCGCTCATCATTTTTTGCACTGAGTGGGTCACTCTTACGAGAGGATCTTTTTTTTACAACTGAAAATAGAGACTCTCAAATTTATGATATGAAACTTTACACCTCACTAATTTAGGTGCTTGGACCACGCCGGCAAGGAACAATGCATGGAATAAACTCGTTACTTGCAAGCTGCAGTCGTGTCCTTGGGCCCATTGCTGTCACGTGAGTTAGCTCAGTATAGTCAGCAAGTGGAATTATTTCTGAGTCAAAACTAAGCAGATGCTGCTGAAGTATTAAGAGAATATTACAGGGTGCATCAAAATTTTTTGGCGGTAACTTTGCAGCATTGCCACATAAGGACTACTTATAGCTTTGATTCCAAAACTTTATCACTTGCTGCAATCTGCAATCACACTCTGCGAAATATCGTTTTACGAGCCCAAGATGATTACATACTTATTTGCAGAAAAAAGGAATTGTTGAGATGGCATTTGCAAAGAGCGCAAAACCGAAATTTTTACGACTACATCTCAGTCAATAGCTAAAGAATCTTGGAACATTCTGAAGCCGTTTTATGTCCTCAGTGTAGAAGAGGCTTTGCGCTAGTTGTAGTCGATTGCGTCTGCCAGAAACTATTTCTTTAAAAAGATCTTTTTTATTTTAAAATTGCATTTGTAAGCCGAAGAAATATAGCTGCCACCGGATCAAGCTATACAGCGTCCACAAATCTTCTAGACAACACCTGTTTTTATTCGATTGACGAAATTAGTCTCAAACCTAATTTGGAGTCAGTTTTTTGTTTTTCGTGCGGTAACTCTGATTTGTGTAGCTTTTTACATTTCGCATACACATGTCTTTGGATAAATTTGCAAATTCCTTCAATTTTTCCTCGTTAAATATCCCCAAACCTTCTTTTCATAGTAGGTTATTCCACAGTTTTGTCAGTCACATTTGCGTATTGCGCACACCTTTGTTGGCAAGATATTCTGTGATTTTTTTTGAATCCACAATTGCAACTTACAAATCTACAGTAGTCTCTCAGTGATAGGGCAATATTAAAGCAAAATAGTTTTTTTCGCCGAGCTCATCTTACACGAGTCTGTCATTATAGGATAAACGCGGATTTTGGCGCATCTCCTACTTTCTATGACCTCTCAAATCAACCTTGTTTTTTTTTTCGCTTATTGCTTTTTCAATGAGTTTGGATTATGCTGATTATTTTTAGGGACATGTTTGGATACTTTGGACCCCAACTCGTTTGGGTATTCCAATTTGGCGTTTGGGCAATACTTCTCACTATATTCGCCATATTCTATAAACGACTGGTACCGTTGGAATTGCCAAAGATAGCAGAAGATGAAGAGGAAGAAGTAAAGAAGCCACTTCAATAACTTCGATAAGAATTTCATATATCTGCATTTCATATCTCAGCACTGTCAGAGCTATCTTGGTTTTGAGTTATTGCTTCAAATACCATTTCGTTGTTGACGTTAGAGTCTCCCAGAGACTGTAGGTTGTCTGTACATAATTTCGGTTAATAAATGTTAACTTATAACCCAAAAATACGCTTACACGGACTTGCAACCTTGATTTCCACCCCTTGATTCGGCGGTGAGTAGTAACAGTGCTTCTCTATAAACAATGAACCCCAAGTTTCAACCGTGGCAAATTTCCATCACTTTGATATGTCATTCTGTTCTTATCAGAAACATGCTCATTGTTGAATTATGTCAGCACATTTAGGATTTCTAGTAATTTTGAAGGAAGAAAACTGATTCAGATGAAGATACGGTTGGCCTCTGGGGATTCTTGCGGACTTGCTGGCATCCCCGCTTTGGCCGGGTCAGTGTCCTAATTGCTACATACTGCTGTGAACCTTCGTGTGTTAGAATAGACTCACCTGCTATATTTGAGGCGCATTTTCCAGGACTTAGCGCATGAATGGAGATGGGGTTGAGCTACCGTGTACTAGAGGGTCTATTACATAAATTCGCCAAGATCCGAGAAGCCATTTTGCCGATCCACTGCCTGTAAGTCACCGCATGCTTCCCATTGCGAAATAAGAATGAGCTTTGCTCGTGCCTACATAAAACTATGGGAAAGTGCTTGATCAAAACGCGATAAGCTTACTTTTTCTAAATGTAAGTAAAGAAATCAATTCAAAAGAACGCCGGAGTTGAAAATGTATATGTGTAAAGTTTCAGATCAGTCGGTTAATGCTCAGCGCCATCTGTAGCTTAATACATAGCACAAACACTAACACTGTTTTATATATAGGATGTCCCCAAAAATGTGCCTACTGTTTGATTGTTGATAACTTTCTTGTATTGCAGTCTTTCGGAAAGCTTCAATTATCTTTTGTAGGGCTGGCTTCAACTTAGATTTCCAACATGAAACGACTCTCTGATCGCTTTTCGTTACTGTAGGATTACGGTAGAAACTTCAAGCATATGGTGTCACTGTGAGAAAAACTTATTTTTCGAAAATTCTCAAAAAATGGGCAACCGCATCAGACCTGCGACTATCGTTCTTCTGGCTCCTGCGTTGACTTGTCCTTCATCCTGGCTGCATCGCTTTGCAAACCGCATCCTCCTCACCGCGGAATGAAAATGGGCTTCACCACCCGTGTTTACACGAATACGGAGAATGCCTTGTCAAAACAGGATGAGCTTCCATTTCTATAGATTTTAGCAAACAGATCAATAAATCGATAGAAGGAGCCAGCGAATTTCAGTAAAAAGTAGCTTAAAACCGTCTCCGGGGTCGAGAAGATCTGTGTGCAAGCTTTCAGACCAATCGGTTGAGCGACGCGCGTTTCTTAACGCATACACCCTCCAAACAGACAATTTTTGAGTTTTATATATAGAGATATTATATAATATATGTTATATAGAAGTTATGCAAGATGCTAGAGTAAAGTTGCTTCCTAAATGGGTGAAAAATAGGAGAAATACTTGTAAATGCATAGTCATCATGATTTCTTGAAGGATAAGATTTCATTCGGACCTTGTTCCTCTCCCTGGCGGTAATGTTAATGCGTGCTTTCCTAAATCTTTGCGGTCTTTAACATAATATCACATGTTCCAAAATTCGTCAACTATGTTTACAACAGGTGGATCAAAATACATGGAAAGTTCTGAATTGTGCAGAAGAATGACGACATCAAATAATCCAGAAAACTTTACATTAGAAGAAGTTTTGAACTTCCAATAAGTCGGTTCATTGACAAAATAGCAAAGCCTGGTATGAAAAGTAAAAAACATTTGCCTTTCTATACCCATTCATGCAGATAGAGCTGCAACAATTCACGCAACATTTACAGTGAGTTGAGTACAAAACATTAGCAATGTACGAAAAAGAAGAAAAGAAAAGAGAAAACGAAAATTTAGCATATCTTTAGAAAGATGTCGTGACCTAAAGTTTCAACTCCATTTTTTTTTTCGTTCCTTCTGCCTAAAGACCTTTCCACTGCTCTTTATCTGGTATCACCATTAATACGTTAATTTATAATCCAAAACTTCCCTGTATACAGTAAAAGTGTGAAAGGCACACCTAACAATATTTGCTTCTCGTTATCAAAAGCACTGTCTTAGACTTGCGACGGAAACCTTTACATCCTCTCGTAGCCCTCTTGATGCGTTGGGTCTAAGACTATGCCGTATTTCTCTCAAACTGTCAGCTGAATTGTTTCATGGTGTACTCCGGCCTTTGACAACTTTAAGAGATTCAAGCGTAGTTGTGCTCTCCGCAACCAATTTCCACACCTCTGGACTTGGTGGACTCCGCGAACTGAAATTTCAAGGGGTGAAGAAAAGTTAGGGTATAGGTGGTCCGCGCTGTGCTCGGAGAATAACCCTATTGCGTTCATTGAAGATAGTCCGTGAGTGGAAGAGGCGCAGAGAAAAAGGGCGAAGTGCACGAGGAAAGAGGAGTGCGTGCAGTATAGACCTGCGCAATCCTTCCCCCTCCCGCACCCTGCGCGAACGGCCCATAGCAACTTTGCCAAGCCTTGATGTTGCGTTAACTTCAAAGATACAGGATAAACTGGAACAATTGAGAATAGCTCGTACTTATATTAGGTCTGTCCAAAAGTTCGCGCTGTTTTTTAGACCCATGCTCAAAAGACTTTAGAATAAAGGTAGAGAAACGCTGTAGGCAATATCCAATGCAGAATTTCTTCCTCTTTCCAATGATTATCTTTCTGTTCAGATTTCCTCAGTGTTCGCTCAATAATCGGCAGACTCCAACCCATAATTTTTCACCCATCTTCAGTTTGACTATTTGGAATTTCTATTATCAAGTTTTGTACTAGCTTTGATAACTTTTCGATAGAACAAACAAAAAGCATTACAATACTTTCTTCTGGCACCTCTAGCTGGCTTCCCAAAATTTTTAATATATTTTTCTGATGCTAACAAATTCCATCTTTGGGTATCTCAATCCTCACAGAACAATAAACGACTAGCAAACAAGGTGTCATCCCATGCAGCTTTTTCCCCCTTTCTGATAGACTTCTTCTTTTCCTGATTTGTATGATATTTGAGGATAAAATCATTGCAATTTTTGTTTTCAGACTCGTACCAGGCTGTACCCAAAAAATTCGGAAATTAATATTTTGAACCGCTAAACACTCAGTTACTTGCTAAGATTAGTGCTAATAAGTCAGTAAGTCTTATCGTTTTTGGAAGGTTTCTAATTCCGAAGATTTGCCAGTGTTTGGAGCGATTGTGTATTTCTCGACTTCGCAGAAGTAAGGGCTTTTGGCTTTTGGCTTTCTACCCGTGCGGTCAGCGCGCCACAGCACGCCAGCAATTCTCACACTGCGTAAGGTACGACGCACTGGTCAGGCTGCCTCATTATTCACGCGGTTAGGTACCACATCTTAGTGTGTATGGATAGTCAGAAATAGGAGTTTCTTGCTTCCAAGCATTAACCTTATAGTCCTGGAGTTGACCACAGTGTACAGCGCAAAAAATTGGAAAATGGCAGCCATCCGCCGACCACCAGCAGCAGCGCGGCAACCGATGCCCGCCATCGTGGACTGGGTGTTACGCCATCGTGTGGATGCGCGCACTGCATGCTCCACTGTTTTAGAATATGTTGTTGCATGTGGTCCATGCTTATCGACTTTGTATGGAATCTGGAACACGCGCAAAAGCTAGAAGCATTGAATTCCATAACAAAACCCAAATCGAACGAAAAATATTGCTTCAACGCTGTTACCCAAATTATCGCAATATCAAGCCATGTATAACTTTCGACTGTCAGACTCAGTTATTCAACTCACTGTCAGAAGGCGATGCCATCACCATATTCTGCACTTCTTGAATCACATCCAGGGTCAAGCAAGAGGTGTGGCACACGATCGCTGGTTACGACCCCCCCTCTCCCTTCTTGTTTGTGTTTCAATAAGACCCCCTGAACTCTATACCTAAGATAGCGTTACCTGAAGGCCCTGTCAAACATAACGGGCAGCATATCCATAATTAGCATGTCAATTAACCCCTGTAGACAATTTGAGCGAATTCTCAAGTTTCAAGATACTGGGTCACCTGAGTGAAATCGCCATTTTCCAGCACGATTAACCTTGTTTCAAAGGTGAAGTAGCTAGCTGTTTTTGCATTTAAGACAAACCATCACTCCTTTTTTTGTCACTTCAGAAATCTCGCTTCAAAAGACCTCCTAACTTTGGAATAGAAGCCAACCAAAATCTTGTTTTTTCTATTAGCTTTTAATGGCTGTGCTTTCACCAAATATTACTCAGAGCTAAGAAGACGAATCAGGCTCAAATCACTCCTAAGAAATCTACGAGGTCTAGGCTATCGATTTATATAAACAATGTTCCCTAATGTGGCACCACCCCTGAAAAGCTGTGGCTGCCACAGCTTTTTAGGGGTGGTGCCACACCCCATTAGCTTACCGTCAAGCAGATCAAATAGCTGCGTTTTTATATCGTTGTTACTGCTTAACCTTCTTCTTTACATAGCAGAGATTCCATATAAAAACGTTTCTTCAAGAGCAAGATATAATCGTTTTTCCTTACCTATGCAAATGTAAAATACTGGTAAAATACTGCGAAAATATTGGGATACGGTAACATGCTAAGTCTGCATTACTACTTGAATCGCAAGGAAAGGCAACAAAATGTATATATTCGATAGCCTAAGGCTCGTGATCTACATCAAACTGAGTTGAACCTGATTGGTCTTTTCCAACCTGAAATATTGAAAACGAAAAAAGCAAACGAGATTTTGGTTTGCTCTTAATTTCTTAATTTGGAGGCCATTGAAATTAGGATTCCTAGCGTGAGCAAAGAAGTAGTTGTTCTTTGTATTGAGCGCGAAAAGAAGTAGTTAACTTACCTTTGTAACGAAGTAACATGTTCAAAGACGACCAGGTGGTCCTGTATTTGGAGACCTCAAAATTCGCTGAAACTTGGACCACAGGGGTTATTTTACTTGCTAATTACAAAACGATGCTCTTATGCTCTATAGATCTTTGATTAGCTTACTGTACGTATACGATAATGTGTCAACCAACATTGTGCTAGTATTTTGCATGACGGGCCTATTTGACATTGTTAACGAATATCATGTTATGCGAACAGCGGACGCCTTGATAACGACCCCCCCTCCCTGATTCCTCAATACGACCCCCCGGGTGTGGCATGCCACACCCCACGCTTGACCCTGATCACATCGCTCAACTAGGTTCAACAAGGCAAGTAATGGCTTCGTTGCCAATTCTCTATGTTTTCTATGTTTTGAAAACTGAAGTTTTTTTTATTGCAGGGAAGGATCTATCTATGATTGGAAGCTTTCAGTGAATTATAAATCAAGTATTAACGATCAAGCATAATTGCATGCGCTCAAGTCTCCTAGAAACAAATTTCTTTTTTTGTGTTTTCCAATCTGAAACATCCACCAGAACTTGAAGGCCTCTGCCATTGTATCCACAACTGGTCATCCTAAGCGGCAATGAAGTGGCTAGCGCTCTCCATATTTTGTATCCAGGCAAACTTTCATTAGATGGCTCATCGTCTCAAGTGCGCCAACTCTGTTTCCTTCCAGGCAAGATGGGCTTCATCCTGCGTTTTTGACAAAGTCGAGGATTTACGTGGAGTACACTTATGGTTAAAACGAATGAGAACGGACGAGAGCGGATGCTTTACTGAATGCTTCAAGAACAACGCCTGCATTGCACTACTTTATTACAAAGTCAGTTGGTCATACTATTGCGGATAAATGCTGATACTAGCATAGGTATAACAGGATTATACCAGCTTTCTACCTACACCTTTACACTAAACAGTAGGGGCGCCAAAGTTACTCTTGGGTTCTTCGTTCATAAGAGCACTTAACAGAAACTTTGATCTCAAATTAATTCCATCGTTTTACACATAACCTCTACAACACTGCTTCCACTTGGGTCCACTTGGCTGAGTGATAATTAGGATGTGCAATATAAAGCTTCGAGATAAACCCCAACGATCTTTGAAACTCCTGTTTCGGCCAAATTTTTTGAAGATTTTACGAGAAACTCAAACTTTTTACAACTTTTGCTTTTTCATGGACGTCGGTTGATTAGCTAACTAACAAAAACCAGGAAAGGAAATTTCTTGAATATTGTTGTCACAACTTTTTTCCGCCGCCAATTTTTTCGCACTGAATAAAATTATTTGTTGTTGCTTGTTTGATTCCAAATGATCTAGATGATGAGCCTTCGATCTCAAATTTGCAACTTGAGTTTTTCGATACTCGTAAAAAATCAAAAGCTGTTAGACTAGCCTTTGGTTGCAGCTTTATTCGCACTCGACTTCGTATGGAATGTGGGAGGGCCCGTCTGCGTGGCTAACCTTAACAGCCTAGTTACTGTGCGCCTCTAACTGGTCGGTGCTGCTGCGATTGTGTAAGAGAGAGAACTGAAATGTTGTCAGAGACACAAACACTTTGCATTGGACGTACGCGAGGCACTCTCCCAAAGAAAAGAATCAAAGAAGACCTCAATTATTATGTGACTTTAGGGTGCGGAAAAAGTACTGTCCCTCAGTCTGCCTCCTAAAAAACCTCGCAGATGGAGAAAATCTATAGTTTTTCAATTTCTCCATGTAGGCGGGACCTTGTAGATTAGACTAAGATAAGTTTGATTTGGAACTGTTTTCTTCTATCCATTCAATCGGATGATAACGCGCAGCATCATCGACGACGCGCCGCAGCGTTTGGGCGCAATTCTGGACCGGAATTATACCACCAGAAATAATATCAGTTTCAAATTAAGGTAATATGTAGAGCATAATTTCTTCTTCAAAACTCTGAACTTATTATGATTGCGATTTGAAATTTTGTCCAAACAAAGAAGATCGTATCAAGCAAAGTCCAAAAATTCTCAAAAGAGATTAATTAGTCATGCTCTTGCTCAACAAATTGGAACCGAACTATGATTCGAAATTTCAGATATCAACAAAAAGTAACAGGGTAATGAAAAGAACAATCGGGCTTTGTATACATTATAATTTTGAGTCAATAAATGATGGTACTTAGTTTCTGTGGCACGTTTTTGATCGCATCCGCCGCAGATGCTACTTCGTTAAAAAATTTACCAACTTTTCCTCCACTGCAACTGCTATCCGGATACTGCCAGCATCTTTCGAAGACACTACAGCATTCCCTATACAGTAGAAGATTTTTCAAATTCACATCGGAAACAAGAGAATTTCACAAAAAACTTCACACTTCCTTCACATTTGTAAAAGGGCGTTGCAAGATTTAATATGGGATGCGTTGCGAAAAGGGATCCGCCGCCATTTAAAATTGCAGATTTTTGAAGCCAGTTTTTGTAAAATGCAATAATACAGTCACATCTCAAAATTTGTGTCAAATTTAATAGAAAAATCTGGAAATCACGCAGACAGATTTTGTCTGGCTTTGATTTGAGGGACAGTACTTTTTGCGCACCCTATAGCAAAGTGTTACACGTCGGTGACTTAGACAGTTTTTCAGGTTACACTTGCGGAGTTTACGGTGTTGTCGGGGAACTAGGATGGGAAAGGAAACCACGAAATGGCTAGTAAAATCCAACCTCCTCAAAACCTTGTCATCGTGATTTGAACATTCTCACTGTTACTGCTCGAAAATTTGCACTCATTTGCTGTAATATTCAGAAACGTTTGGAAACTTAGTTAGATCATAAGAAAGACAGAGCAAGCCGTCGTTCTGGGGCAAAGTGATTAGCGCTAGGACGAATCCTTGCAGAACGGCATGCACTCTAATGCGACGCTCAAACGATGAGTCCAAATGTATAAAGATCACCGAGCTATGATTTGCGGTAATAAAAAATTTGACTTACTGTGCAAAAGCGGAAGACTTTGAAGTTGCATGGAAATAAGGCACTTTTTGTGTTGCAGGATTGCCTGACATAGTGACATAGTGTTTGGCATAATAGAGAGATCGTATGCAGTAGTTGTATAGGGTTCCGCTGTGACGTTACGAGGGCGTCATTTTACGACATAACATGCAAAAAAGGGTGTCGAAGAAGTAGGAAAAATCGCCTGCTGAAATATGAAATAAAATGCTGTGGAGCCAATAAAAGAAGCCGGCCTAAACGCAAGGACTGTTTCTTTACGGCAGAAATTCACGTTTCGGAAGGGATCGTTGAGTTCAAAGTTATAGAATTTTGAATAAAAATTATCAGGAGCCCGCAAACTTTCTTTTACCCTAATACAAACTAGTGGCATAGAGATTATATCGCTATATTACAGGATGACGACGAGTGCCACTTGTACAGCGCTGGAAACGTCAGTTCCCACTGTTGGACCGACGTAATCTGCTACACTCTTCATCGCGATGAGGAGGATTCCGTTTGCGCAAGATACGTGGACGTTTAAGACGAGACCAAGTATCAGTCATCACCGTTTTCGCTTCATGTAGGATGAAACTTGAAATAAAACTCTATACCTGTGTGCAAGTATCATGTCACAATCTAAAAACGCTGTAAAAAATGAAACTATACAAAAATATTTCACAAGCAGACTACGAAAACCAGCAAGTAAATCAATGCAACAACTGCTTCATCTTATAAGGATGAATCTTTGCTCTGCAAAACCATGAGAACACTTCTTTCTTTTGCTATAGAGCAAGGAAGGCAATGAAACTGGTGTGTATAAGTGCTGCTGTGAAAATTTCCCTCAATATTATTGTGTGAAGGCTATATTAGATTAGGAGGTATTTGTGTGTAATCTTGTAAGCCAACCCTCTTGCGTTTTATGAAGCTGAGCGTTTCGTGCAATCATGTTGCCTTCAGATATCCGAAGCACCTTCATGCACTTTTCTCGATCGAAAGTAAACGGATAATATTAGGTTGTTGCAAAAATGATGTCCGTTTTTCTAGGCCTATATTTCAAACAATTTTCCACCAAACTTTGTTTCGATATAGAGTTCGCGTATCATTGGAAAGCTCTCTTCATGTACTTTCTAACAGTGGTGGAGTTAGGCTGCTATCCTCATCTGTGAGCATTTCACCAGCATTTTCGCATCCGCACTCAAATCGGAATCTCATAGCATTCATTTTCTTGACCACAATTCAGAAGCAAATAGACGAATTTGAAAACCTAACAAATGTATTGCATGAAGAATGTTTACCTAATGCGTGCTCATGTAGATTGTTGGAGATAACTGGATTGAGAAATTGACGCCTCGAAATAGATACTCGCTGCTGGCATTCAATGGGTCGGAAATTTCTCATGATTAGGGCAATCACCAAAGCTTCACCCATTTCTGCGAGCTTAAGACTAGCACACCTTAACTGTAATATTTGAAGAGAAACTTAGTTATTCAGTGTGCGAAAAATTCCAAATTTTCATAATTTGGCACTTACAAGCCTACAACAGATAGGCTCAAAAAAGTGAACATTTTTGAACTTTTACCTTTTCTTTTCGCAGAACTCCTTCGTTGGAGCCTTCCTATGCACATGTAAACTCATAGCCTGCAGCTACAAAATAAGCTGATTGCCAGCCATACGAGCAAAACTTGAATTGAGTTGTAAGCTCTGGAAAACGAGGTTTTCAAGAGAAAAACTTTCAGTTTTTTGACGCGTGGTTTTCTTCTCATTTGCGATATCAGTATGAGCAGGTGCGCGCTGAAATACGAAAGGTTTGCTCTTTCTGAAGTTTGACCGCATTCAAAATTATGAATACTGAACGAAGTTATAGCCCTCCAAAATGAAAATTTGCAAAATGGACATTATTTTTGCAACAACCTAATATAAGCCTTAGCCGAAGCGCTATCGGAAAAAATTGGGAAAAAAATGTAGAAGGACAGCAAATTAGATGAGTGTGTAGTTGAATGTAGATTAATCATTTTGGGATTATAAAAATGTTATGTCCTGTCAATAACTAAGAGCTACTTTACCAATGCAGGGCAGCTGTCATATACCAGAGCCGTCGCAGTGGCATAGTTAGAGGTCTGGTCTAGTACAGCAAACAGCATTTATATCACGCCAATGGGTTGCTATATGTTAAATCAAATAGCAAACCGGCAAAAAAGTGGCTACGACTATGTACATGGCAAGGAAAAGCTCTGATTCGAAGTGGCTTTCCCAACAAGGTTTGGTTTGCAGGTTTGGTTTGTTGTTTGCCACAGGTTTGCCAGCTATTCTGTAATAACTTTGATAAAGACTATTTCCCAACCAAGCAGCAGTAGCGTGGCTATAATTATTGTATGATTGCGAAAAATTTGGTTGATTTGTGCATTGTTAACTAAGTCATTCTGCTTTTTTGAACTAACGTTTTTCGAAAGCTTTCGTTTACGTACAGGGTGCCCCACAACGTATCGTACGTTTGATTTCTAACGACTATATAATTGTCAATTATACTAGATTAGGATAGGAATTCTGAAGAGGGTTTTAAGCTATTAAGGACCCCATCTCTTTCTAGAAAGCGGAACAAACAATCCGAAAATCTTGAACTGGGCTATCAGAGTCGCTGACACTAAGTATAGACTTTTCGTTTCACCACAACGTTTCGTTTATCAGTTATCCAAGTAAACTGCAAAAGCCGTTTTTCCTCAATTTGCAAAGCTTTACAAACTCGTAAGAAGTTGAGCAATGGAATAAGCGTGCGCGAAACCCTGGCAAATAACCAGATTTTGGAATTTTTTTTTGAATCGCGACGAATCGAATGTAAGGTAAAAGTTTCCGCCGCAATCCCATATTACCGAGGAGCAACCGGTGATTTGCTCCATTTTGTAAATCTAAGTTGAAGCGAGTAATGTGGTGGTGTTTTGAAACGGTGAAGCTTTTCGTACAACATTACTAGAGGTCAAACGTTTAATACATTTCTAAGGACATCCTATATACAAATGGTGTAGTTGTGTGTCGATGATTCTTCCTCCTCAGTAAATTTCATTTTGTTACTGTTTTAGTAAGGAAAATCGTACTTATAATTCAATAACGCTTGACGATTTTTTGTTGATACATCTCGCCATCGTCTGACAATACCGCACATATTGATGCCGTTTGCGTCACTCGACCTAAAATGAAAATTTTATTTTGTAATCCAGCAAATGGCGTGCGAGAAGTTTTTCATTCACCTCCGAGTAAGTACATCCTTCCATTTTTGAGTTCATTTCCAGATCCTGCTGAGTTTAGCTGTTAGAATTTGAGAAGACAACTCTGTGCCGTTAAATGTCTTCCGAACCTTATAATTTACAATTACTTTCTTTATAAGGTCTGAGGTCTAAAGATGCTATGCTAGATAACTCTGTAGGTCTGCATATGCTTCACAATGTAAGAAAACGTCTTGAATCTCATTAAATGACTAGAAAGATTTCTCTTATAACCTTGACGAAAGTGTCTAAAATGCAATTATCAGCTATTGAAGAAATTCACAAAAATTTCTTCTACATGCCGAACTCTGAAGAACAAAAAGCATCATTTCAAGGAAGAGGTAGCACACGAGCATGATTCTGATGCTCTAACCGAGAGCAAGAAAAACGAGGAGCTTTATTATATCTGAAGGAATCAACTTGAAGTGTATATTATGTATACCGATCAGCAGGGAATAATTTCAATTCAAACGTAATATTTTTTACTTCTTCGTGAAATAATCATAGTTTTCGTCTAATCTCATGTTTACGTGTTTTCACGCATATATTAGGTTATCCCAAAAGTTCTATGCTAGTTAAAGTTATTCAATAAATCATAACTTCCTTTCTTCTCAACTATTTTTCTCAAAATTATTTTTGTATGAAAGAGGAAACCTTTTTCTTTATAGCGGTGCCTTTGCCATGAAATAGTATTGGTAAGTTCGAGAGTTAAAAGCAATTGAAGGAAATTAGTGAAGATTGACATTTTTCAAGCTAAATCACGAAGAATTCTGAAAGTATTTTTATTTGATAGAGAAAATTTTGCACATGACAATGGTACCTTTCCCCTGAGTTAAAACGAAAAAGATCGAGAGTTAGAAGCAAATAAAAAGCATTTCTTCACTTTTGCAATTTTTGAGCATGATAAAAAAGCCTGAAAAAGTCACGGAAACGGCGAAAAATTCATAAACATGGGGTTTGTGACCTTCCCTTACTAGCTGAGCGAAAATCAGCCAATCGGGAGCAATTTTGATTTTCGTGATTTTTTTCGGATTTTCGGGCCTGCGCTTTTCACGAAAAACAAAATTGATCTCGATTGGCACGATTTTTGCTCAGCTAGGAAGAGAAGGTCAGAAAACCCGTGTTTATGGCTTTCTCGCATTTTCTGTTGCATTTCTAGGCTTTTTTGAGCATGCTCAAAAATTGCAAAACTGAAGTAATTCTCTTTATTTGCTCCTAACTCTCGATCTTTTTTGTTTCAATTCATGAAAAAGGAACCGTTGTAATGTGCAAAATCTTCTCTATCAAATAAAAATACTTTCAGAATTTTTCGTGATCCAACTTGAGAAGTGCCGACCTTGACTGATTTCCTTCAATTGCCTCTAGGTCTCGAACTTTCTATAATCAATTCATGACAAAGACACCGCTGTAAAGGGAAATGTTTCCCTTTGAAACGCAAATAAACACAAAAAAATCTATCGAGTGGCAAAGAAGTTATGATTTTTTGAAAGGTCGGCGCAAGAACTTTTGGGACAACCTAATATAAATATTAGATTGGAAACTAAATTTTGCAACTACTTTCATAACTCAACTCTCTTTAGATATGGCGCACTCAGACTTTGGCAGTATATACAGAGTGTGAGCTACAAACCTCCAGCGATTATTTGAGTTCTGAATTCCAAGCATTTTTCGAAAACTAATAGATTTTGAGGATTTTTGGGATTATAAGCTAAAATGAAGCCGTTAGCAGTGTGAACCATGCGCAAAAAACCGGAATCGTGTATGAATTGTTGCTAGAGGTCGACTCATTCGGTTCACTGCGAAAGAAATAAAATTTAGGGGCAAGTCCAGATTTTGCGTCCTCACAAATTTGACAAGTCGCTGTACGCAAGGCTGCTGAGGACAACCGCCAATGACTAAGGAGTTAGAACCACAAAATTCCCTGAGCCTTTACATATTGAGGTTTTAATCTGCTAAACATGAACATCATATTCATTTGTTGAATCACTCGTAGGGTGAGACTCCATATCGTACATCTACAGTAATCTTACAAAAAACCCTCGGCGCGCAACTTCAGCATCGTTTTCGTGATCAGCATGTTGGACAACCCCCTGTGCCAAGTTTCAGCCAAATCTGTTGAATTTTATGATTCTCCCCTTTATGCCATATACTACCGTAACCCTCGCCGCAACGTCAGAACTTGGTAGAACAGCAGCTATGCTTGTAGCTCACATCATAGCCGACATAATGGCAAAATTTGAGTGCGCCATGTTGGGTGAGAGGAAAGGTTTTGAATAAGTTGTAA